GCGAGCTCGCCTGCTGGTCTTGGATGCTTTACTCATACCACTTCGCCGCCTTGCCATCTTCCCGCAAGATCCTGCTGCTCATTTCCTCCTCCTTGCTTTCCCCCGTCTGGTGCTTCGCTCTTCCATTTCTCCAGCCTCACAATCAGCCACAGCAGCATGTGCAGCCTTTGCACGTCGTTTCATTCAAGGCGACTGGCTTTCTCTCTTCAACGAAGTTGTCGCTACTGCCGTTCCAGCGTCTCGACCGCACAGTGTCTCATCCGCCCGGTCCACAGCCACGTTCGCCCGACTGAACCGAGCCAAACGATTCGCGCATTGCGGGGACTGGTCGCGTTCCCTTGCCGCTTTAGAAGGTGGCGAGCTTGCCCCACAGACCCCTGAAACTGTTACTGCGCTTAAGGCCAAGCACCCTCATGCTACCGAAGAACTTCCAGACTGGCTGCCCGACTTCTCGCCTTCGGAAGTGCCTCAGAAAACCATTCCACTTCTTCATCAGGCCTTGCGTTCAGCCCCACGAGGCACAGCTGCTGGCCCTTCGGGGTGGCTTATCGAGCATCTTCGCGACACCTTCCTCTCGTACCAGACTCATCTGCCGCATCTTCTCCGCCTGTTCCAGAATTGGTTGCAAGGCGACCTCCCGCAAACAGTTCGACCTTACTTCACCGCATCCAATCTTGTTGCCCTCCAGAAGCCGCATGGAGGGGTCCGCCCCATCGCCATCGGCGAGATACTGCCGCGCCTGCTGTCCCGTTGCGTTACTCTTCACTTCAAGCAGCAGATCCGGGACTTCTTCCTTCCCTCCCTACAATTTGGGGTCGCCGTCTTCGCAGGGATCGAGGTTATGGCCCATGCAGTCCAGTCGGCCCTCTCCCTCCACCCAGAGTGGGTTGTGCTGGAACTGGATGTTGCCAACGCCTTCAACTCCTTCAGCCGTTCCGCTATGTTCAACGCCCTGCGAGACTCCCCGTTCTCCAGCCTCATCCCTTTCTTCCGCCTCTTCTATGCCTCCCCCTCTTCTCTCCATTACCGCAACGGCCCATTAATCGAGACACTGCAGTCATCATCGGGTGTTCGACAGGGTGACCCATGCGGGCCATTCTTGTTCGCCCTCACCCAGCACCTAGCCATTCGCCCCATCCAGCGTCAATCTCCAGCTCTTTTCATCACCTCCTACGCAGACGACACGTACATGGTCGGTCCTGCGCATGACGTGTTTCCTGCCTACACAGCGCTTACAGCCCGTCTCAATGACCTGGGCCTGAGGGTGCAACCATCAAAATGCTCCCTCTGGGCCCCTTTGGACCTCCCTTCGGACCTCACACCTCCATCAGACATCATCATTGCCCCTAACGGTCTCACGGTTGCAGGAGTGCCTATCGGATCGGACACCCACATTATCTCCACAGTTCGAGACAAACTGCACTCTTTCTCTTCATCACTGCCTCTCCTGCATGACCTTCATGATCCACAGACTGCCTCTCGCCTCCTTACTCTCTGCATTTCCGCCCGTCCCTCATTCCTCCTCCGCACAGTTGCACCATTTCCCGAGGTAGAAGAGCTTTACACTGACTGGGACAACACCTTGCTGGACCACTTTGTTCGCCTCATCGGCTCTGACTACTGGCCTCCTGCGTTCGACCACACTGCCACAGCACACCGACAGCCATTCCTTCCCATTCGCCTTGGTGGGTTCGGCCTCCGTTCTTCAGCTGCAACTGCTTCTCTCAGTTACCTGTGCAGCTGGGCACAGACAGTTTCACTCCTCTCGTCATGCTTCACCATTCATGGCTCCCCTATTTTCCGTCCCTTCATCGCTTCAGACACCATGGACCGCCTTGACCCATGCATTCCCACAGCCATGTCCAAACTTCATCCTACCATTCGGCAGCACTTCCCTTCCTGGCCCGCACTTCACGCTGGCTATCCACAGAAGCTATATTCCTACCTTTCACAGCACTTGGAGGCTGTCATGCTCGAGCGCGTGCGATCCACAGTAACCTCTCCCCAACATTTGGCCCGTTTAACCTCCCTACAAGGGCCCCATGCTGGCGATTGGCTTACTGTGGCTCCATGTTCTTCGCATATGCAGCTGTCACCTACGGAGTGGTGTATTGCAGCCGCTATTCGTCTTGGCCTCCCCATTCCACACCTCACGACCACCCGCACATGCACTTGTGGCTCGGCATTCACAGACCCTTCAGTCGTCTCTCACGTCCTCCGCTGCCCATCCTCTAACGAGCCTACCAGGGTCCACGACGCCATCAAGCTTGAGGTTCATCGCATCACGTCCGAGCTTGGTTACGTCGTACAGCTGGAGGACTCCCACCTTCTTTCAGGACGTCGCCCAGACATCAGCTGCCGTGATATCAGCTCTGGGACTACGTGGGCATTAGATGTTTCAGTTGCAGACCCGCAGCATGGTCCCCCAAACTCCAAGACTGCATCAGTAATCGGCTCAGCTGCATCTGCTCGCGAAACTGAGAAGCGGACCCTGTATGCATCTTCCTTACAAAACCGCCCAGACGTGAAGCTTCTTCCTCTCGTTCTTGAAACCTTCGGTTGCTTCAGCACGGCATTTCTCAGCTTCATCAAAGACTGCAGCAGACGAGGGGCGACTCGACTTCGTGACATGGGTGGTGCATCTGACCTGATTCCAGAGCTCTTCGAGACTAGCTACTTCAAGAGGATTTCCTTGGTGCACCAGCGTGAGCAGGCTCGAACCATCTGCCGTCGGACACAAATTCGTTACAGTGTTGACACACCCTCCGCCCCACCAGATCCCACCCCACCCTCCTTGGCTGACTTTGCGTACCTTGGTGTTGGTTCTTGAGACCTCATTGGGGGTCTCAACCTAGGATTGCAGTTGGGCCATTGCTAGTTAGGTAGCCTCCTGATGCTCAAATCCGTCTGTATCTTTTGTACACATATACATTGTAAATAAAGCGGTAGAGCGAAGGACTGTAGTTGAGCAATCCTTAGGTCACTGGTTCGAATCCGGTTGGCGGGATCCTTTTGCGCATGTGTTGTTGATTTTTTGTGGAGATCCACTCCTTGCCATGAAAGAGAGCTTTCTATATGGTGTCAGCCTGTGCCCGTCCTGCGAGTTGATTCCATGTTTAGCAAGCAGGCAGACCTGGTGGACTATTCAGAAGTCCATTCAGCAGGGTACCCTACCTGTTTGACAGGTGATGAAAGGCATACTATACCACCTTTAGATGGCGAAGTTAGGTGCTTTTGTTGGAGTTATACTTCAATGCACGCACCCCAGTAGACCTGAGGTGAGAGAGAGTTGCCTTGTCAATGCTCTGCAAGCACAGTATTATCATTGAGTGAGAGGCACAGACAACCTACAGCTCATTTCAGAGTACTGCTAGTGGCTATACTTCCATACATCCTGTGTTTCAGTCAGCAATTCTGGGATCTTGTCACGTCAGCACTCAGCAGAAGCCTTGCTGATGGGGTAACATATCCTAGATTGTCGAGGACCTTGTGTCGGGTAGCCTGTCACGAAAGATGAACGCAGCCTTAGCAGCTCAACTAAGGCTTATGCCTTCCAGCTTCTCCTCTAGTCCACATTCCACGTCACTCCACACCCGATCCTTCGCCATAATCAGCACCAATCCCAGACGTCGCTGTTCCACCAGCGGATTCGGATCTGCTGACGTGGCACGCGCCATTCTCTCTTCCAGAGACTCATTCTTGCGGGGATCTGCAGGATCAGCGGCGGCAGACGCGCGACGGAACTCGACAGTGTCGTGAAGGATAATATTCCCTTCCTTGTCCAGGCAGTTGAACCGGCCTACAAACACTCGACCGTCCGTTATGCCGATCCGGAGCCGTCTCTGAAGAAGGCGACGCGCTCCTGCCATAGCGGGTCTTTTGACGGATTCGTTATAGTCCGATTCTGGTACAGTTACGGATGGCGAGCTGGGAAGCGCAGGATCCGGGTCCGGTATATCCGCGCGGTGCGACGCTTGAACCACCATAGCTCAAAAGCAGCAGGCGGTAACACGAAAGATGGGACTGATGTTTCTGGTGTGATCTGGAATGAATGTCACAACACGGAGCACGTAACAGCCAGCACAAAACGGACCCCTGAAGCAGCGTATGAATATAAAGTGCTACAAGAATAAAGCAGACACACAGGAAGAACGAAATACACGGTGATCGTGACGACGCCGGATGTATAATGCGGCGACAAGCGAGGACGCAGGGACGCAAGCAGAGACAATGCTGAGCAACGAGGAACGAACGGAGAGCTTGGGAGAAAGAGAAGCTTGGGGAGAGAATTTGGGAAAGCACGAATGGGGGGACTTGGTGAAGGTCGGAACCTCCGATAATGAGGGCCGCGTAACATTTGGAAGCTGGATAAAGCGGGGTTGGTAAAGCAAGGGTGCACATTCCTGGGGGTGGCTTTTGGGTGTATTGTCAGTGTGCTGCGCACCCTTTGGCGCTAGCTGATTCGAGGGCGAATTGTGCAGGGTACGTAAGGCTGGTGCGAAGAATTGGAACAAGGCAGGCGATGCCTACCAGTTTCGTTCGAATGTTTGGTTGGGGGAATACACCGAAGGGAGAGAGGGCTCAGAGAGGAAAGAGGACAGAGAAGGGGGATAGGACAGGGCGGAGAGGGGGCATAGGAATGGGAGGGGAGATAGGACTGGGACACGAGATAGGACAGGGCAGGGAGGTAGGGCACGTGAGGGGAGAGAGGACAGGGAAGGGGATGGCAGGGAAGGGAGATGATAGGGAAGGGAGATGACAGGGAAGGGAGATAACAGGGAAGGGAGAGAGAGATGGCAGGGAAGGGAGAGATGGCAGGGAAGGGAGAGATGACAGGGAAGGGAGAAAGGTAAGGGGCCGTTTTGTCAGGGAGGGGATGTAGGGCGATATTGGATGTAGGTCAGAGAAGGGAGATAGGACAAGGGAAGGGGATAGAATGGAAAGGGGGGCGATTGGTTTTGCATGGTGGCGCTCGGAGCTATGATGCGAAGAGTACGGACCTGGTTAGCGTTGGCGTGGGAGTCGTATTATGAAGCGGAAAGTAAGCGCTTCGCAGAGGCGCGTCGATGACAGCACAGAGAATGCGCGGAAGGCGTGCAGTGACGGCGCGATAGTCTCGCCGCGCGGGCCTGGATGCCGTGATTTGAGTGCTCAGTCGCGGCGCTCTGGGTGCTCGGTCGCGGCGATGGCGATAGGACACAGAGGGAGGGTCGGACCGGGGCTGGATAGAGCACAGGAAGGGGAGGGATTGGAGCCAGCAAATAGCGAAGTTTGGGAGTGAGGGGAGTTAGAAACCGAGTGTTTCGCTGACACGATGGATAATGCGGTGACTAAACGAAGTGGGGGATTGTTTTTGAGACGATGTAAGGCCTGGACCTAGACCACGGCATGGCGTGGTATCCGGACCTACTGCGCGAGGGCGTGTCCTTCGTAAAGTGGCGTGGAGTGGGCTGCGTCGTGGGGGCTATGATAGCACTGGATTTCACGGCGCGATACGCGCGATTTGAGTGCGCGGTAGTCTCGACGCCTCCGGTGGGGAGATCCCAGCGCGCGGTCGCGGCGAATCGCGCGCTCGGTTCCCGCGGGGTACGGGAGCGGACGCGTTGAAATGCGGGTGCGATAAGGTAATGGGCGGCCGCGGTGAGAACGATGGGCACCGGCGGGAGCTATGTTGTGATGGTGGGAGAGTGTCCCGTGCGCGTGCAGCTCTAGTTATTAGCGGGAAATCCAGCTCTCAGGGCGGTGCGCTGTGGGAAGTGGGAGGTGGGGTATGAGTTGCTGGGAATACGAGAGTCACCTGCGGTTTGGTTCACACCCAAGTTCCCAACTCCCTATCACCCCCGTCGCTACTGATGGGGGAGCGAGCGAATACCGCTCACCTTCGCCAACACTGAATATTTGTTCGTGTCTCACTCCCAACCACAAACCGGGTAACTACGGAAGGCAAGTGATAAACCTTTGCCTCCACCCCCTTCAAAGTGCACCCTTGCTTTAACTTCAACACAGTGGCATTCGCTTCACCCTACAACAAGGTTTATCCGCTTTGGCCCAATCCCAAGGTCCTCCCAAACTCCACAAAGCAGCATCAGCAGCAGCAATCCCAGCATCAGTCAGTTCAGTTATATTTCCTAGACTCCTGGTCTAGGTCCTCGTTGATTGTGTTTAGTGCCGTCAGCTTCACGCGCGACTCGTTTTGTCGTTAAGCGAAGCTTTAACACTCGTGTGATCGCACGCGTTTGAGCGATCAGGTCAATGGCCAGTGCGGCGATGTCGCATGCGATCAGGCCAGCGATGACGGCGACAAACTGTGCGACTGCGTCACAGCTATCAAGTCGACTGTCGTCAGCGACAAGCGTCTCTTTGTTCTCGCTGAGAACTGTTCCGCTACAATGCAGAAGCCGGCCATCTGTAGGGTGAGCATCGTCCACATGGCAACCCATCAACGTCGACAGCGCGACAATTATTTCACGTTAATCGCAAGATTCTTTTTGCCGCTATCCGTGACTAATGCAATGTCCAACGAATGCGCATGTGAAGATTTTTTTTGCCTGACTTGCGTCTTCGTCCGCGATTAGCTATCGCCAGACGGTTACCATACCATATAAAAAGTCCCACATTTTAAGAGGCCTCAAAACTCGAAAACATGAGCCTCAACATTTCGTGCACGTCTTTCGTGCAATGCAGGGATTGTGGCTTTGCCAAACGATTCCATGACTGCAACTTCTTCTTCTCCCACCTTCCTTTCTCTCTCCATCCCCCTTCGCCTTCTCTATCCCTCTGGACCGACTCCCGCCACTGCAGCGGCTCTAACCGCCTGCGAATCACGTGCAACGCTGCTTCGCCTGGCTCGCAACCCGCAGAAGACCCCTACCAGGTTCGCTGAATCCCCACCAGCTTCAGTCACGAGTAAATTGAAAGGCCACCTTTACCAGTCTTGTTGAACCCCTACAAGGTTCACCTTTGAATCGTGATTCGCATTCCTGTCTCCCATCCTTTTACCCTGTCTACTCTCCCCACACACCACTTCCCTCCCGCCTTCCCCTTCCACCCTCCCCCCCTTTCCGCCTCCTGACCTTTCTTCCCCGAACACCCACCTGGTGACACCTTCTCATCATCCGTTCCTCTCTTCCCTATCGTCCCCCCTTCCCCCTTTCCATCCTTTCGCCTTTCCCCTCCCCCCTCGCCCCCCTTCTTTCCCCCCCCCCTACCTCCCCTTCTTTCCTCCTTCCCCCCCACCTACACACCCCTCCCGTCTCTCAGGTGCTGGGCGTGCGGCCGCTGGACTCGTTCGATGCCATCAAGGTGGCGCACAGGAAGAAGTGGCTCGAGGCACCCTCCCCCTCGCCTGACCCCCCACTCTCTCGCTTTCCCCCCCCCACCGTCCCTGCTCTCTCTCAGGTGCTGGGCGTGCGGCCGCTGGACTCTTTCGACGCCATCAAGGTGGCGCACAGGAAGAAGCTGCGGGATGCTGCGCCCTTTTCTCCCCTTCACCCTACCCTCCCCACCGCCCTCCGCCCCCGTCCCTTCCCATGCCCCTCTCCCCCTCTGTCTCAGGTGCTGGGTGTGCGCCCCTCGTTCGACGCGATCAAGGTGGCGCACAGGAAGAAGAGGCTCGATGCACCCGTCCCTCTCACCTGCCCCCTCACTCTCCCCCAACCCCAACCCCCCCCCCCCCCCCCCCCCCCTCTCTTTTCCGCCCCCGCCCCCCAGGTGCTGGGTGTGCGCCCCCTGGACTCGTTCGACGCCATCAAGGTGGCGCACAGGAAGAAGCTGCGGGACGCGGAGGGCAAGGGGGACGAGGCGGAGATAGAGCGGGTGAGCATGGGGGGGGAGGGGGGGGGGGGGGGGGGTGTTGGGGGATAGGGGAGGGAGGGGGTGGGGGTGGTGAGGCTTAGAATGGCACAGGAAGAGGCTGCGGGACGCGGAGGGCAAGGGGGACGAGGCGGAGATAGAGCGGGTGAGCAAGAGGGGAGGGGGAGGGGGGGGGGGGGGTGGTGAGACTTAGATGCACAGGAAGAGGCTGCAGGAGGCGGAGGGCAAGGGGGACGAGGCGGAGATAGAGCGGGTGAGAGGGGGAGGGGGGTTGGGGAACAGGGGGAGTCGGGAGGAGGAGCGAGGTGGGGGTTGAGGCCGCAGAATGGCGGAAGAAGCTGCGGGACGCGGAGGGCAAGGGGGACGAGGCGGAGATAGAGCGGGTGAGGGGGTGGGAGGGGCCGTGGTAGAGGGAGGGAGGGGAAAAGGGACGAGGCGGAGATAGAGCGGGTGAGGGGGTGGGAGGGGCCGTGGTAGAGGGAGGGAGGGGAAAAGGGACGAGGCGGAGATAGAGCGTGTGAGGGGGTGGGAGGGGCCGTGGTAGAGGGAGGGAGGGGAAAAGGGACGAGGCGGAGATAGAGCGGGTGAGGGGGTGGGAGGGGCCGTGGTAGAGGGAGGGAGGGGAAAAGGGACGAGGCGGAGATAGAGCGGGTGAGGGGGTGGGAGGGGCCGTGGTAGAGGGAGGGAGGGGAAAAGGGACGAGGCGGAGATAGAGCGGGTGAAGGGGGGTGGGAGAGTGGAGAGTGCATGTTTCGGGGGCAGGGAGAAAGATAGAGGGCGAGAGGGGGCTTGTGGGTTGGGTGACGCGGAGGGCAATGGGGGCCAGGCATGGGTGAAAGATGGAGGGGCTGGGAGTAATGGGGATGAGGTGGAGATAGGTTGGGTGAGAGGGGGGTTTGGCATGGTTAAGGGAGAGGGTAGTGAGGGGGAGGGAGAGGTTCGGGGGAAGGGGACAGGTTGGGGAATGCTGAGGGAAAGGGCAATGATGAGGAGGTAGAGCGGGTGAGGAGGGGGGTTTGAGGAATGTTTGGGGTTTTGTATTTTGATGGTCCTTGAATGGCTGCCCGTATGACTGCTTGCCTGCCCGTCTGCTTCCATACAACAATCTACTGCCCTAGCTCGTCAGTGCTAACGCCACTCACTCACCCCCTCCCTTCCCTCCCCCCCTTCTCCTCCCTCCCTTCTCCCCTCCCTTCTCCCCTCCCTTCTCCCCCCCCCTTCTCGCCCCTCCCTTCTCCCCCCCACCTTCCCCCTCGTGGGCATACAGATCGACAGGGCTTACGATGCCATGATGATGCAGCGGCTGACGATGCGCAAGCACGGCGTCACGTTTGGGCCAACTTAGACATCACCCACCCCCCTCGTTTCTCTCTCCTCTCCCCCACTCACCCGGGTACCCAGATCGACAGGGCATACGATGCCATCATGATGCGCCAGCTCACCATGCGCAAGAAGGGAGTGACATATGGCTCTCTCGAGGTCTCGAAAGACATCAAGTTTGCCGACCAGACGGAATTTCTCCCGTGGCTGCCGCGCTACGAGAAGGCTGACAACAAGGGCATTCTCATCAACGCTGCTGTCTCTGCTGTCATGGTAACCCTGTAACATGGTAACAGTGTAACACTGTAGTGACTGTAACACTAACACCGTAGCGATCGTGACTGTAACACTAACACCATAGCAATGGTGGCTGCGTTATGAGAAGGCGGACAACAAGGGCATCCTTATCAACTCGGCTGTCTCCACTGTCATGGTAACACCGTAACGTGGTAACAGTGCAACACAGTAGTGACCACAACACTAACACCATAGCAATGGTGGCTGCCGTATGAGAAGGCGGACAACAAGGGCATCCTTATCAACTCGGCTGTCTTCGCCGTCATGGTAATGCTGTAACACCGTAGAATGGTAACACTGTAACACTAACACCATAGCAATGGTGGCTGCCGTATGAGAAGGCTGACAACAAGGGCATCCTCATCAACGCTGCTGTCTCCACTGCCATGGTAACACTGTAACATGATAGATGTATGACACTGTAGCAATGGTATTGCCATGACACCACATTCTAATCCCTGTAGCTATGGCAGCAAAAGGTTCTCCCCATCCTCGCTTCCTTTCCATTCTTTCATCTGCAGGCGGTGTGGATGGTGGGGGCGCAGAGCACAGATTGGAAGATCCTGCAGTTCCTCCTCTCCTTCTACATCTTCCAGCTCTTCATGAAGCTCGACCCCTTCTACCCGCAAAACACTGTATGCAATTACTCTTCTACACCCCAACCTCAATCCAAAGCATCCGTCAAACTCAACCTTCATACCGTCCTTTCCCATCCCCCCAAAAAACCTAAAGTCTGCTCTGTTTGCTCCTTGTGTTTCTTGCTGTTGCACTCAATCTCTCTTGATGCTTCTCCACCATTGGTGCAGGAGGAAGGGGAGAAGAGATGGCAGAGGAACGGGCGGCGACTCACACGGGCACTTAGCCTTGTCTTTGGCGTCATTGCTCTTGCCTCTTTGGTATGGATGGGAGGGACTCGCGCAATCATATCGGCTCGCAATGGTGGTAATCATGCAATGGCATTTCGGCTGAAGTCTGTGCACGACTTGGCACAAACTTGTTTTTGCCATTTCAGGTTCACACTCTCCTGATTAAGGCCTACTCGCTTGCTGGGATGTATGTTCCACGTGCACTTTACACCTTCCAGGTGAGGCTTGGAAACTGCTTTTCCACCGTTTCGGCTTGATCAGTGAAAGTCATGGCACCGTAACTAGTGAGGGGCATATCGATAATTCTGCATTAACCATTGTGCTGTTGGTGTTTACAGGAAACGTTCATCACCCTGTTTACAAGCGTCAGTTTGTTCTTCATGGGATCGTACTACCGATGAGCTCAAATGTGTGACCGACAATGGATGGCTCTAGAGGTTTCTTAGTTTATTAGAAGTCATATAAACTCTAACAAGTACTTCATGTTACACGCCTTTAAAAATGGCGGTAGAACAAAAGCATTGATCTTTTCGTCCGTCCGTGACGTGGCTCCTGATCTTCCGAGTTCACCCACCCAACTTCACCCTACCACCCCGCTCACCCAAGCCTCACGCGGTGGCCTTTATCCCAGAGCGGCGGAAAGACCACACCTCACCCGCAACCTCCCGCGAGGGGCATCCCCGCACGGCGGCAATTTCTAGGTAGGCGCTTTGGGTTGCAGGAGACCGCGCTTTTCCGCAAAGGCCCCGCACTGCTGCGGAGAGCTCGAGACATTCTTCCGCTTCCGTTTCCGCTTCCGCGCGCGACTCAGGTTTGATCCTGCTGCTGCGCCCTCCACTATTCCATCTTCTTCCGCTTCCATTTTCCCGGATCCAAGGACCGGAAAGGCCCTGGTGGAACAGGAGCCACTTCGAAACTGGTTATGGGAGAGGGCGGCGGCTTTCCCCCTTGGCCTGGCCACGGTTTACGCGCACCCTTTGGTCCTGAAGTCCTGGCTGGGAGGGGGCACGAGATGGAAGGCCACTATTAAGGCACTGTGGGACTCAAAACTTGTGGACATAGGCGATCCGGCTCACAGATGGGACGCAGAGGAGGAGCAGTTACTTTTCAACCGCAGTATTTTCTTCAGAGGCAGATCACCCTTCGGCAACCAGGCGGGCTCGCTCTGTCTGAAGGGCATCCGAGTGGGGGATTTGGTGGTGAAAGGAGGAGACGGCAGCAGAGCTCGTAAGAGCGATGAGGTTCTGGAGAGGGAACTGGGAGGCGTGGAGCAGAGGAAATGGGCCCTGAAGGCGTGGGAGGCGACACCGCAGAGATGGAAGGATATGGTGCTCAACCAGATGTCGGCGGATGAACTCTTCAGGGAAACGAGTTTGGTCCGCTCTGCGTCTTACCGCCCGGGGGAGTTCTTTTATTATCAGCTGCAATATGTGAGCAACGGCGAACTTTACGGTCGAAGAGTGACGGTGGACAAGAAAGGGAACATAGGCGAAGTGGAATATGCTAGCGTGGTATCGGTGGAATTTCGGCGCGCTTCACCCATGGCAGTCATAGATGGAAGGGCCCGCGGTTTACTCGGCGCTCCAAGAACGCGACTGCTCTATTCTGCAATCTGTGAGAAAGGCGAGCGGGCGGATCTAAAGAAGTTGAGGAAGGCGATGAAACCCTCGCTGGCGCAACCGAAACAGCAGCTGAAGTGGGAGGAGGAATTGGGGAGGAAGATCGGCTGGGGGAAGGCTATCACGGTCCGTGACTCACTGGCAACCCCATGCAAGGCGCGAGAGGTGATACTGAGGGTGCACAGTAACAACCTCCAAGTAGGGGAGCGGCTCCCCTTCTTGGGTGCGAGGGCGAAATGCACGCACTGTGGCGGAGTTGAGTCGCAAGATCACTGCCTTTTCAGCTGCCCGGTGATCCAACCTGTGGTGGAGGTGATGAGGAAAGCGGTTCAGTGTATGAACCCGGGCAGGGACATGCGATCTCTCGGGGACATGCTCTTCCAAAGGAGTGGCACGTCGACTGGCTTCCCAGAGGCTGCAATCATATCCATAACAGCGCATCAAGTCTGGCTGGAGAGGTGCAATGCGGTTTTCCGTGGTAGCCGGTTCCAACCAAAGAGAGCATTGAGACTCATGGCAGTTGGTTTCACGAGGCACGTGAAGATCTACAGCAGAGCGCGGAAGAAAATGGCTGGCAGGAGTGTTTCGAAAAGGACGGGTGACTGGAGCCACTTGAATGCTGACGAAGCAGGAGCTATGCGCAGGCTCTATGACACAGAGGCCTCGATGACGTGGAGAGCGGGTTTTAAGGCGATCTGGGAAGACGGCGGTGTTGCTTTCCAACCTCCATAAAAGGATAAGGGGGGCTCTGGTTGCTTGGATACTTGTAACCTCCTCATGCCCTCCTAGCATCAGTTACGACTGCGGATGTATGTATGCTGGTAGTGTACTTATATCCACCAAAAAAAAAAAAAAAAAAAAATTCCCTAACTACTTATGGCGGAACGGCCCTATTTCTCCTACTTTTGGCGGATCTGTTGCTCCATACCTAATTAGACCTCGGCTCGTGGTCCGATTAGGAGTTAGTCAAACGGCGTTTGCGTCGTGCAGAATAGGGCCGTCATACCATACCGCATTATTAGCACCGCATTTGTGTGTTACGCCACTTGATTCAGCCTGAAACTCCTTACCTAAAATTATAATTACTCTCACCCTCTAACGGCCGTCGTCTCGCGAAGCCCGATGCGCATGTTTATCTTAATCGTTTCCTTATGAAGAACGTCAAGTGACCCAAATCACTCTCTTTCCTTCTTCGACATAGTGAGTCTCCAAGTCTCGCTTCCCTTAATCGTGCTCTATCTTAGCCAATCGCTAGACACCATAAAATCAGTAACCGTACTAACCTTTTTAAGTCGAACATTTCGATCCCTATTTGATCGCTTAGTCGAAACCCGAAACCGTGGCGTGTCAGTTTCCGTACACATTTTTACCAACATCACATTTCATCCCACATTTCCTGCTACTGCAGACTTAGGGAGGGGGAACTATGGCGGAGGCATCAGAGCGCGCACCGGGGAACCCGTGGCTGCACGTGCGACGAGAACCGTTCGATTTCGGCCTCCTGCCTATCCCCGCGATCGCATCGTACAAGGAAGCGTCCACTGAAACCCTAAAGCTCCTCCGTCAGCGCCTCATCGACGCGTCTTTAAACTCCGAAGGCGCCTCGACCACCTCCCCGACTCGCGACGGCTCGCAAGAGCCACGTGTCACATGCGAGGCGATAGAATCGTGCCTCAAGCTCTCTAAAGACCAAGCGCGGCTCGTTCTAGACACGCTAGCGTCCGTTCTCCCCACCGGCAGCGAAGATATCGACTCGCTGTCCTACGCGTCGCCGTCAGATGCGGCGAAGATCGGAACTGACGTGGACCTCCTGCTGCTCTTCCTCTTCCTCCAGCGGTATCGCCGCGTTCCCAACCGCTCGTCCCGCGACGCTGCCGTTCTCGCGGACGTGTGGCCGCAGGGGCCGTCGCCGTTCGACTCTGTCTCCCCCACCGCGACCTCCGCCCTCCAGGTAACGTTCTCTCCTGTTACGGGTCATTTTAGTAGCGTTTGATAGAGGGGCAGCGTTCATAGGGACCCCGCGGACGTGTGGCTGCAGGGGCCGTGGCCGTTCGACTCTGTTTCCCCCACCGCGACCTCCGCCCTCCAGGTAACGTTCTCTCTCGGCATGTTTCACACGAATGTCCTTTAATAGGAACAAAATCATTTATAGACATTCTCGTCACGGAGGGGCCGTTGCCGCAATGCTGCTGTGCGCACCAGTGTCTGATAAGTGTGTCGACAAAAGAAATCAGGTTCGGTAGAGGGGAGAAATCCTTGACAATCCTTGACAATCCGTGTTACCCGAGGGGCCGCCGCCGCAATGCGCTGTGCGCGCCGATGTCTGATAAGCGAGTCAGCAAAAACGCACGTCTGATAGAGGGGGAAATCCTCGCTTTTACTGGTCACCTAGATGTCTAGCTGCTGGCTAGAAATGCTGCTGTGCGCGCCAGCGTCTGGCTGCAGAGGCCGTTGCCGCCGCTCGATTCCGTCTGGCCGAAGAGAGCGTTTATGAAAATTTCGAGGTATTTTAGGTGGATAGAAAATGTCTCGACGAAACATCTGGCGTTCAAATGCCGGATGCAAACGCTCGTCCGGCGATGCCTCTGTGTTCGGCGATGTGAGCCCTCTTAGCTCGTCTCCGCGCTTGATGCGGTTTCGCCTACTGCAACCTCTGCTCCGCAGTTTTTCCCCGATGGCATTCTTAGTGGGTTCTGATATCGGCGTTTTTAGTACAATGACCGAAACTATGTTTGTGTGGCATTTCGGGCATGAATGGTCCTGTCTATCTGTAACCATTGTTCGGTACGGTTGATTAGAGTGTGAGGAATTGTTAGTGCTGCTGGGCGAATGCAACTCTTAACGGGTTCGTTAGCACATGTTTTCCTTGTCTCCGCAATGTGCTTAGGCGAGTTGTAAGACGTCTCGGAGGTTGCTTGGGCAAGTCACCGGTGACATAGTTGTGATAATGTCGGAGCTGATTATAACGAAAGTTTGAGCAGAGCAGCGAACAGTAGAGTACCGAGCGGGCCGGATTCTGGCCGCGCCATTTGGGGTCTCGCCAGACACCATCGCTTGTAGAAAGTCTTGTGTGATTGTCGCTCATTGCTTTAGGGTTACTAGTTCCGATACCAGGTTGACTTTGAGATTGCATTGTCTCACTCAAGCTATCAGTACGTTCCGAAACCTGCCACACATTGCTCCGTTTCCACAGCACGTCTGACTCGCCCTCCCCCTTGTTTTCGGCGTGAACCCGTCATCACTACACCAACAGATAAAGACAAGCCTGGCCACCCGGCAGCGGTTCCAAACGGGGCACGCGGAGGAGGAGCAGCAGCAGCTGTCGTTTCTGCAGAAGAACCTGCCCGCCGTGTTACAGCTGCTGGCGGAACATGGCTCTGATGCTGCTGGTAGTGGTGACGGCACGGAACCGGGCACACAGGTGAGTGAGTGAGCGCTTTTCGGCGTGTTTTAACAGCAGTGCGCGCTAGCGCCTAGGCAAGTTATAGAAACCCGTCCGCTTTTGAGGCGCCTCAAAAGTAGAACCTCCCCGCCGGGCTACAGCTGCTGGCGGAACATGGCTCGGATGCTGCTGGTGGTGACGGCACTGAACCCGGCACACAGGTGAGGGAGTGAGCTTTTCTTGGCGTGTTGGAGCAACAGTGCTCGCTTGCTAACTAGCTCAATAAGTGGAAGCAGTAATACTCGCTCCTTGGCGTGTTGGAGCAGCACTTTTTTACCCACTCATTCTCTCCCTTGTGCGCCCAAGCTCACCCTTCTCCTTCACCCTGTCGCTTCCCCTAGTGTCGACGCCTATCCATTCGCCACTCTGCCTCACAGGATCCCTTCCTATCCACCCCATCCCTCCCATACTTTCCAACCTGCCTCTTCGTCCCATCCCATTCCTCCCATCGTTCCCCCCCCCCTCTCTTCCTCCCGCCCTATTTCTCCCTTCCTCCAACCCTATCCCTTTCCTTCCCCCCATCTATTCCCCCAGTCTCCCTAATCCCTCCGCACCTCCCATGTCCCCGTATATGTCCCCAACCTCCCTTTCTTCCCCTCCCCCCCCTTCCCACACCGTCACCCCCTCCGCCCTCTCCCTCCCTTTCAGGTGATCTCTATCGACAAGTTCGAGCTGCTGGGTCTCTTCCTTCGGGTCAACCGACCCGGAGTCGCCTCCCTCCTCCTCTCGCAAGTCGCCCCTTTCTTTGCCGAAGCTGACGCTGCCATGCCTCCCGCGCCCGTACCTCTCTCCGTGGCGCAAGACTGGCTCGGCCCGAGGCTCTGCTGCACGTCCGACCACGGCCCGGACCTAAGGCCGCAGTCCCCCTCCCGCCCCGCCAAGGTCCCCGCGGATAGGGGCGGAGATACCGCCGCCTCCCCCACCAAAAGCGGAGATACGCCCATGGGGGAAGGGGGAGCAGTTGCGGGGAGCGGGGCAGGCGCAGGGGCGGAGGTTCAGGGATCGCCTAGAGGGGCCGCGGCCAATGGGGCGATGACAGGTGGCGTGCTGTCGCGGCGTGTGTGGGTGGCGGCAGGGATGACGACCGTTGATGGGGTTGCAAAGATGTCGGTGCTCAAGGGAGAGACGGAGGTGGACAGTAGCTGTGTGCGGGTGAGTTGCTCCTCTTTGGTTGGGAAAAACGAAGGGAAGTAACGAAGTAACGGGTGAATTAATGCCAACATGCTAAAGTAACCAAGTCCCCAGGTGTAGCTGGGGGATCCTCACCTCATGGTCCAATAGAAGTCCCCACACCCACCACCCCCCCTCAATTTCCTCCCTCCCCCTCTTCCCCCCCCTTCTCCCCCCCTCATCTTCCCTCCTTCCCTCCCAACCTTGTTCTCCTCAGCGCACCTTGAAACACCTTCCGCCGTTCGCCCTTTCCCCCTTCACCTCTCCGTCGTCTCGTCCTCCCCGCCCACGCCTTCGTTTCCTGCCGTGGCACTCCCCTCAAGTACACCTGCTTGCTCTCGCCCCTTACAGCACCCGCACAAAACCCTACTGTTTTCTCATCATCCCACATGATCCCCTGTTCCCGTTCCTCTCCTCCCTCCCCCCAGGTGGCGCACTGCCACGACAGTGTGATCGATGTGCTTGTTCCCCTCAAGTACGCCCTAATCCCTCCCCTTCATTCCCAAAGAAGTACGCCCACACATTTTCAATACCCCCCCTTTTTTCCTCGCCCCCCCTTCCGCTCCGCCCCCCTCCTCCCCAGGTGGCGCACTGTCACAACAGTGTGGTATACGTGCTCGCTCCCCTTGATGATCCACAAACCCTCCCTCCTCCTCTCCTGCCTTTCCCCCCGCCTCCTGTTCCGCTCCCCCCCCAGGTGGCGCACTGTCACGACAGTGTGATCTACGTGCTCGCTCCTCTCACATTACCACCTCTGCCTCTCCCCCCTTAACCACCTCCCTCCGCTGTGGCCCCCAGGTGGCGCACTGTCACGACAGTGTGATCTACGTGCTCGCTCCTCTCAAGTACGCCTCCGTTATTGGCTGCTCCGATTCCATTGTGGTGCTGGGCGCCGTGGGCAAGGTGAGAGGAAAGGATGGGAGTAGGGGCAAATGGTTGTTGCGTGGGCAAGGTGAGGAGGGTTGAGGGGTGAAGGTGAAAGGGAGGAGGGGTGTGTTGCGTGTTGCATACCGTCCTTTTGCCAACACCAGCGCTGTTGTTGGCTGCTCCGACTCTTTTGTGGTGCTGGGCGCTGTGGGCAAGGTGAGGGGGAGGAGGGTGAAGGAGGGGTGAAGGGAGAGAGAGGAATGGTGAATGGTAGAGGGAAAAGGAGTGAAGGGTAGAGAGAAGAGGGGTGAAAGGGAGGGAGGAGGCGTGAAGGGGAGAGAGAGGAGGGGTGAAGGGAAGAGAGACGAGGGGTGAATGGAAGAGAGACGAGGGGTGAATGGGAGAGGGAGAAGGAGTGAAGGGTAGGAGATGAGGGGTGACGGGGAGAGAGAGGAGGGGTGAGGGGGGGAGAGAGGAGGGGTGACGGGGAGAGAGAGGAGGGGTGACGGGGAAAGAGGAGGGGTGACGGGGAGAGAGAGAAGGGTTGAAGGGGAGAGAGAGAAGGGTTGAAGGGGAGAGAGAGGAGGGGCTTTCCCCCCTCCCCCCCTTCCCTCCACCCCAGGTGGTTCGAGTGCGAGCATGACGCTTTTGAAATTGCCCACGAGTGGAGGCGCGCATGACTCTTTTGAAATCGCCCCCACGAGTGGAGACGCGCATGACTCTTTTGAAATTGCCCACGAGTATGATGTGTACATGACGCGCATGATGCTGATGTGTACAGCTAGACGTGCCCCCCATCTCTCCACCCTTTTTCTTCCACCCCCCCCCAACCCCCTCAACTCTCCCTCCCCCACCAGGTGGTGCGGGTGGAAGCCTGTGAGCGGCTCACCCTCATCGCCCCGTGTGCGCGCATCCGCATAGCCAACTGCCGCGAGTGCGTGTTCTACCTCGGCTGCAACTCCCGCCCCGTCATTCTCGGAGACAACCCCTCGCTGCAGATCGCCCCTTACAACACCTTCAACCCCTCCCTGCCTCCCTGCCTGCCTGCCTGCCTGCCTCCCTCCCTCCCTCCCTCCCTCCCTCCCTCCCTCCCTCCCTCCCTCCCTCCCTCCCTCCCTCCCTCCCTCCCTCCCTCCCTCCCTCCCTCCCTCCCTCCCTCCCTCCCTCCCTCCCTCCCTCCCTCCTTCCTTCCCTCCCTTTCCCCCCCTCCTCACTCCTTCCCTCTCTTCTCCAGGTGGTGCGGGTCGAAGCCTGTGAGCGATTAACCCTCATCGCCCCCTGCGCTCGCATCCGCATAGCCAACTGCCGCGAGTGCGTGTTCTACCTCGGCTGCAACTCCCGCCCCGTCATTCTCGGAGACAACCCCTCGCTGCAGATCGCCCCTTACAACACCTTCAACCCCTCCCTGCCTCCCTGCCTGCCTGCCTGCCTGCCTCCCTCCCTCCCTCCCTCCCTCCCTCCCTCCCTCCCTCCCTCCCTCCCTCCCTCCCTCCCTCCCTCCCTCCCTCCCTCCCTCCCTCCCTCCTTCCTTCCCTCCCTTTCCCCCCCTCCTCACTCCTTCTCTCTCTTCTCCAGGTGGTGCGGGTCGAAGCCTGTGAGCGATTAACCCTCATCGCCCCCTGCGCTCGCATCCGCATAGCCAACTGCCGCGAGTGCGTGTTCTACCTCGGCTGCAACTCCCGCCCCGTCATTCTCGGAGACAACCACTCGCTTCAGATCGCCCCTTACAACACCTTCTACCCCCGCCTCGATTACCACCTCGCAAAGGTCGGGGTGGACCCGGCTGTTAACAAATGGGACCTGCCGTTAGCGCTGGGATCGCTAGACGCTGCTGCTGCCGCTGGTGCTGCCGGTGCTGGCACTGCTGCTGGTGGCGTCAGTGGTGCTGGTGGTTCGGCTGGTGCGGGTGGTGGGGCGGGAGGAGCGGAAGGGGAGGGAGCGAAGGAGGGGGCGGCGGCGGCGGCGGCGCTTGATTCGGCGATTCTGATGCCTCCTGAGAAGTTTGTGCCGTTTGTGGTGAGCCTTGTAGCTTTCTCTTGTGTGCAATCTCCTGTTCTTCCTCCCATTCATCGCTTGTCGGCACTCTCTCTGTGCTCTTCATGCCGCATACGGCGATTCTGATGCCTCCTGAGAAGTTTGTGCCGTTTGTGGTGAGCTGCTTCCCTTGATTGCTCAAAGTGACTTGTGAGTCTTTCCCCCCTGTGTGCAGTCACCAACCGCTCGCCCTCCGTCCCCTCCTTGTCTGTTCAGCGATTTGTGGAATGCTACTCCGCTTTCTGAACATCAGGTGCCGTTTCAAACGCAGCAGGAGAGGCTGAACAGGATACTCGTGTCTGCACACCCTTGAAAATGAAAGCTCTCACACCCTCTCCGCCCTTCTCCCAACGCATCAGGTTCCGTTTCGGACGCAGCAGGAGCAGCCAGGCGGAGGAGGGGGTGCCAGTCCGCTGCTGCAGCAAGCCACGCGGGCCAACCCGTTTGCTCTCCCCAAGACGTATCTCATCGCGCTGCAGCACAAGGTGTGTGGCTGGGTGCCCTTTGTGTTTAGGTACTGGTACAGTACTTACTGCTGCAGCAGGCCACACGGGCCAACCCGTTTGCCCTGCCCAAGACGTACCTCATCGCTCTGCAGCACAAGGTGTGTTGTTGAGTCATTGCTCTTGCATAAGGACACATCTCACCACTGCAGCAGGCCACACGGGCCAACCCGTTTGCTCTGCCCAAGACGTACCTCATTGCGCTGCAGCACAAGGTTCTCATGGCTGTTGAATACTCTTCAGCACAAGGTACATAACTCATCACCACAGCAGTCCGCTGCTGCAGCAGGCCACACGGGCTAACCCCTTTACTCTGCCCACAAGGTGCGTTACTCATTGCCCTCGAATGCCCTGCAGCCTGCAGCACAAGGTGCGTTACTCATTGCCCTCGAATGCCCTGCAGCCTGCAGCACAAGGTATGCCACTCTTTGCTCTTAAAGGCAGGGGGAGAGGGGCTTTTGATGAACCAATCACCTGTCTTTCTGTTTGCCTCACTTTGCTCCCTCTGCACCCCTTTGCTCACCTCCTTTCCCATCCTTTCCCATGTGACAGATTAAGAGGGTGGAGAGTCTGAGGCAGACGCTCAAGACAGCGGTGCTGGACGATGGGGAAGATTCCAACGAAGCTTAATGACCATCATGTTTCCACATCTCTCTTTCCCAATCTCCCCCTTCCTTTGCTTCCATCCTGTGCTTGATAGACCAAGACGGTGGAGAGTCTGAGGCAGACGCTCAAGACAGCAGTGCTGGACGAGGGGCGGAAGAGCGCTCTGATCAGCCAAATGGTCCCTCTTTGCTCACCACTATACCACACGCACGCCCTCTCTCCTCTCTTCCACCAACCCCCCCACACATCCCCCCCCATCCCGTGCTCTCCAGACCAAGACGGTGGAGAGTCTGAGGCAGACGCTCAAGACAGCGGTGCTGGACGAGGGGCGGAAGAGGGAGCTCACGAACGTCATCCAGGCACACTTCAAGGAGTGGCTCCTCAGTCAGTGCCTCCTCCCTTGCATAATCTCTTAAATATTACTCAGGCCTCATTCCCTAAGAGTGCCTGACAAACGTCATCCAGGCACACTTCAAAGGGTGGCTCCTCAGTCAGTCCCTCTTTCCTGCATGTTTGCCTCCTGAGGTTTTACATTTTCTTCTGTAATTATGCCTCTCCTTTGAGAATGCCTCCTCCCTAGCAATGCCTCACGAACGTCACCCAGGCACACTTCAAGGAGTGGCTCCTCAGTTAATCGCTTAGTCGCTCCCTTCCTCCTTCCCTTACCTCCTTCCACCTTTTTTGTCATACCCATCCTGTTTACCTGCTTTATTTCAAATTTCAATTCCATTTGTGTACCGTTTTTCTTGGTTTCCCATCCGCGCTACACTCACACTTCATCCACACTACACTCCCATCATCGAGCCCGCTTTCCTCGACCGTTTTCCTCATCATCCCCCCCCCACCCCCTCCCCACCACCCTCCACCCCGCACCTCCCACGCACCCCGTGCACACATATCTGGAGACATTTCAAAAGACAGATGTTGCATTCCAAGTCACCCTGCCTTTATCCCCCCTCCCCGCCTGACTCGCCCTGGCTGCTGCAGCATCGGGGAACATTCGGCAGGTGTACGATCTCGCACGCCTTGACAGGGTTTAGGGTTGCACCTGGGTCAGAGACAGCCTTATCAGTTGTAACAAATAACCAAATCGCCCTGCCCCTATCCCCCTCCCCGCCCGACTCGCCCTGGCCCTGCAGCATCGGGCAACATTCGGCAGGTGTACGATCTCGCACGCCTTGACAGGGACCCCTAGCACCTGGTCAGGGGGGACCCCTATCAGCAGCTTTTCGGAGGAGGCCCCTGTCTCGCCCATTCTCGGCATCCGTTCTTTAGCTTCAAAGCCCTTCAAGCGTGCGGCTTTTCGCTTCCACTTACAATCATCCATCTCTTATCATTGTCTCTCTCTCTCTCTCTCGGTCTCTATCCGTGTGCACCAACCAATCAAGCCCTTTCGATCGACAAAGTGCAATGCTAGAGAGTAGACCGTTGCTTGCATGTCCAAGCAGCCGTTCTTGCATGGCCACCAGCACAGCAACCAACTTGCATAATTACAGAGACCAGCTGTTTTGACAAGGATTTTGTACCTTGGGCGTGGATGGATGGATATGTAAGGGGCATGGAAAGGAATCTGGGCTGGGAGTAGCTACTACCAACTGAGCTGGTGCTTTATTTAGGGAGCCTTAGTTTGGGGCAAAGCTTCTCTTGTAAGGAGGGCTGAATGGTGAACAAAACTGATTGCGGTATGGGTGTGGTGGTTGACTTTGAGAGGATTAGGCATTTGATAAATCTGAAGGCCCTTGTGACCACTATGAGTCAACTGCAATTTATTGCTGTGATGTATTGGAGGAATCGATACATGGAATGTGAATTGATCCTGGTACACTGATTTGGCTGATCAGCAATATTCCATATAGGTTAGCATAAAGTGTGGATTGAGAGCAAATGACTTATTGATTGGAGTATTTGGAAGCAATTGTGCTATTACGTAGTGTGATGTACTCTTATATATCTATATATAATGCGGAGATGTGGGAGTAAGGTTTTGTGTAATGATTTGCCACACTACAGCGATTGGATGAGCGAATTTAGATATTGGCGACGCTTTTTCCCCGATTATGACGAGATGCCACGATGCGGGCTGATAACGAACTCTTCGCCAACGTTCATTCGATTCCACGTGGATCAGAATACCCTGAAGGTCACAAAATCGGTCTGCCTTATCGGGTTGGAGCTCACCGATTGGTTGACGGACCCAGTGTGCGAAATTCTGATTGAACGGCGCCACCTGTCGGGATTCTTGTGCTGCTCGATGCTGGGTTTCCCCGAACTCCTGGAAAATCCCACCAAGCGGTGTACCTGCAGCAGCGAGACCTCACATCCAGTTTTAGACTCTCAGAGGTTTGCTTTCCTCTCCGCAAGCAGCGATCTCCTTCCAGACCGTACTCAGCAGCCAGACTTCCTCTTCCAGTAACCAAACTACAGAGGAAAAATGGCCGCCGTCACCATGGCTGCTGTTGGCCTGGGTGCTCCCCTTGTTGCACCCAAGAACCTGTCCTCCAAGGCGTCTTTCTCCACCACCAAGGCGTCGTGCTTCGTGAAGCAGGTGTCTGCCAAGACCGTCTGCTCCGCGGAGAAGAAGGAGGAGAACGTTACCGAGCAGGCTGGCAAGATCGCCTCTGCCCTCGCCCTTGCTGCCATCGTCAGCACCGGTGCCTTGGCCGTTCCCGAGGTCGCACTCGCCGATGTCGCTGGCCTTACCCCCTGCAAGGACTCCAAGGCCTTCGCTAAGCGCCAGAAGAACTCCATCAAGAAGCTGAAGAACCGCCTCAAGCTCTACAAGGACGGCTCTGCTCCCGCTCTGGCTCTCAACGCCACCATTGAGAGGACCGAGCGCCGGTTCTCTTTCTACGGCAAGTCCGGCCTGCTGTGCGGCACCGACGGTCTTCCCCACCTGATCGTCGATGGTGACTTCAGGCACGCGGGCGAGTTCGTGTCCCCCGGCATCGTTTTCCTGTACATTGCTGGCTGGATCGGGTGGGTCGGCCGCTCTTACCTGATCAAGACCAAGGAGGGAGCCAAGCCTACCGAGAAGGAGATCATCATCGATGTTCCCCTCGCTCTGAGCCTGCTCGGCCGTGGTGCTACCTGGCCCGTGGCTGCCTGGTCCGAGTACAGGAAGGGTGACCTGATTGTGCCGGCTGACCAGATCACCGTGTCCCCCCGTTAAATGCAAGATAATATATTTTGAGTTTCATGTACAGCCCTTTTAGAAGGTCGGCTTGAGTGGAACAATTTTGTACGCTCAATTTTCAGATTAACACGATATTCAATAGCCACCTTTTGGAAGTGCCAACGATATTCTTGTCTAACCAAACTCGGCTGGTTCTGTCCAAACATCTGCTAGAACGAGTGGAGCTTCATGTCCCTTCTAGTTGGCTTGAGTGGAACAAACTGGTGTGCTCAATATTCAGATCAAACACGATATTCGATTGCCTCCTGTTGGAAGTGCCAACGATATTCTTCATGTTGAACCAAACACGGATGGTTCGATCCAAACATTACCGTACTAATCTGCTAGAAGGAGTGCAGCTTCATGTCCCTTCTAGTTGTCCTTGATACTTGCGCAAGTAAGTTCAAAAGTCTTGCAAATATAGGGAATAACATACGGCCATCACGCTGTTGTTGTGTATTGTTGTGGCAGCGTCCTGAAATGAAACGAGGAAACTGAGACAACACCTGAGAGGGGGCTAACAATGCTGAAGCTTGACAATCATCAGGGTTCAAACACCATGCCACATCACATCAGCTTCCTTGCAGTTTGTGAAGAGACCACATCATCATCATCCCCCGTGAGCTCCGTTCCAGTTCCACCCCCATTGGTTATCCCTCCACCATTTTCGTGGTGTCTGCGCATTCTCTTACGGCTTGGTGTGCGCATGACTTCGCGACCGAATGTCTGCATCTGGTAATTGACAAACGCCTCCTTCACCTCGTCCTCCTGGAAAACAAGAAAAGGGAAGAGAAGCAATTAAACAATAAACAAGAACAGCGAAACCAACTTGCAAACAGCGACAGCAGGTAGGTTGTGCAATGTGAAAAAAGGACAATGAATGAGCTTACGAGGCGCTGATCTCTTGTCTTGATGTACACTCTAACGGTCAGGTCCTTGTAATTCTGTGGCATCATTGTACTAATCTGATTGCATGAGATGGGAAACTTGTACGGGCGTTCTGAGTATGCATTTGCACAATACAATAACAAGGTAGGCATAGCAGAAAAATATGGGCATGAATGGTAGACAGGAGTGCTTGGTGTATGAGACCTGAATGAACACATGAAGGGAATTCAAGAGTTCACATGTGCTTGGAAAGGAAGGGCCAGTGCGATGCAAGCATGTGGGACACGTGTATGTATGACATGATGGATGCCAGACATGTGCGTGTGTGCGTGATGTGTAACGTCAGCGTGACATCACAGTGGTTATGGTCTCATGCATGTGCATGTGGACGACATGACATCATGACATGCCTGAAACCATAGCTCAGACAACTCACATCGAAGAAGTGGGCCCTGAAGACCAAGTACACCCCATGGGTGCATCACAGGAGAAATTCACACCCCATGCAGTCGTTGTAGCAACAAGATTATTGAAGCCATGTGGTGTGGTGGATCACACGAGTCCGGCACGCGAAATGATTATAGCAACACCCCCCGTGGTGGTAGTTGTAGCAAAACGGCCATCATTCCAATGTGGTCATTGTAGCAGCGTGGTTGTTGTAGCCATGGTTTGTTTGCACACATGACGTAAAACAGGTGGGGGTGGATGGGAGAGAAAGGGAAGACGTGAATGGATGAGATAGGGCAGAGTAGTATGGCACTCAGTTTTTGAGAGGGTTGCCCAGAGTTGATACCACAATTCAACTATTGAGCCAACTTTTGGGTGTGTACTTAAAATATGCCCAAAGTTGATACCACTACTCAATTCTTGATGTTTATTGCTGTGACTCACTTGTCAAGAGGGTTGTTTATGTCCTGCCCATAGTCGATCTTGATATTGTCCACAATCACTTGGTCACCATGCTCCCTCAGGTATGACCCTGTTCCCTGCAACAATTGCATGGCAAACAGGTATATGGGGATATGGGGATATGGGGATATGGGTATATGGGTATATGGGGATATGGGGATATGGGTATATGGGTATATGGGTATATGGGTGTATGGGTGTATGGGTATATGGGTGTATGGGTGTATGGTATGGTGAAAAAGCTGGCTACCATCACTTGATCGCCATGCTCCCTCACTCACTCACCTCATACACACACACTCACATGCCTGAGCAGCTCATTCACTGAAAGCTTCTTGAAGTGGTGCACCGCATCGAGCTGGCCCATTGCACATGCAGTCACCACAACCATTCCTCTCTACATGCCCTCCCACACTCACATGCCGCAGCAGTTCATCCACTGTGAGCTTCCTGAAGTGCTGCAGCGCATCCACTGGCACCACCACAAACTCACAGGCCTAGTACTCTCTGCACTCACACATTCACACGCACACAGTGTGCGGAACACACACTAACCCGTGCCCAAACACACTCACATGCCGCAGCAGCTCGGCCACTGTGAGCTTCCTGAAGTGCGGCAGCGCTTCCACCGGCACCACAAACTCGTTTATGTACTGCCGGCCGGGGGGGGTGGAGAGGAGAATGCGGGGGGGAGGAAGAGAGGTAAGGTGGGAGAAGACAGAATGCAAGGCGCAGCTTCTGCACCTCGGCCACTGTGAGCTGCTTGAAGTGGTGAAGAGCGTCCACCGGCACCACAAACTCGTTCATGTACTGGGGGGGTTGGTGGGGTGGGGGGGGGGGAGTTTGAGGGATGGAGGGGAAGAGGGAAGGAGGGTAAGACGCGAGAAGACAGAGTGGAAGGAGCAGCTCGGCCACTGTGAGCTGCTTGAAGTGGTGCAGAGTGGTGCAGAGCGTCCACCGGCACCATGTACTGCCGGGCCGGGGGGAGGGGTGCGGGGAGGAGAGATGGGGGAAGTGGGTGTTAAGAGAAGAAAAAAAGAGTGCTCAGAGTGGTGCAGAGTGGTGCAGAGAATCCACCAGCACCACAACCTTGCATGCAACCCCCCTCGCATGCACCCCTCGCATGCACCCCTCGCATGCACCCCTCGCATGCACCCCTCGCATGTCCGTTTCATACTTTAAATCGCATACCGTCTGGTCCTGAAACCCACCTGGTACAGCTGCCGTCTCTCAATCTGCTTCAAAATCTCCTGCGATTTCTTCAAGCTGGGGTTTCGAGACCGCACAATGTCCCTCAGAATCGTATCGTCCAGCTCGCAGAATCTGTCGAGATCTTTAGATTCCGCAATTTCCCCGAATCGGAACTTGTGGTTGGCGTGGATGAGCGCCTCTAGCACCATGTGCTCCACGGCCTTGACTGTCTTGTCATGTACACGTTTTGATACATCTTGGTCCGCTGTAAAAACATATCATTCACCGTCCCCACTGTTGGTTGGGGAGGGGGGAGGGGGGGGAAGGGGGAGGGCGGGAAGGGGGAGGGGGGGAAGGGGCCGGGGGAAGGAGGGGAGTGGGGAGGAGTGAAGAGGAGGGAGGGGACAGAGGGGAGGAGGAGGAGGGAGGCAGGAGGATGGAGGTGGGAGGTGAGGGGAGAAGAAGAACACGTGGTTGGCGTGGGTGATGGGCTCGAGGATCATGGCTTCGACTGCCTTGACTGTCTTGTGCGATGAGAGTCCCTCCCAACGCATCTTGACTGTCTTGTGCATGTACACGTTGCGATACATGTCAGCCCGCAGCCAAACAGGTTGTTCACTGTGCCCACTGCCAGGGGGAGAGGGGAGGGGGAGAGCGAGGGGAGGGGAGGCAGAAAGCAGCTCTTTGAGGAGCATTGAGGGGCCAATTGCGTCTCGAACCGCAACCAATACATCTCATTCACCGTCTCCACTGCCCCGGGGGGGCGGGGGGGGGGGGGGGAGGGGGGGTGGCGATGATGAAGACAAAGGAAGGAGGAAGTCGAGACTGAGAGAGGAAAGAATGGTGATCAGTGGTTGGTAGTAGAGGAGAAACACCGGAGCACGAAGCGCACCTTTTTACAAAAGAGGGTAAGAGAGGCGAAAAGGGGGCAAGAGGATACGAGAGGAGCAAGAGAGGGCAAGAGAGGAGCAAGAAAGGATAAACTAGGGCCTCACTCACACTCGCTGTACTTGAAGCAGATCTCGTCGTCTATCACCTTCAGCCAAGGGCGGGAAGGGAGGGGGGGAGGGAAAGAGGGGTCAGGGAAGGGAGGAAGGGCAAGAGAGGGCCTCACTCACACTCGCTGTACTTGAAGCAGATCTCGTCGTCTTTGACTTGCAGCAACTGGATTATTCTGTGAAGAAAAACAGTCGGGCAACAGGGGGGACGAGCAATGGGGGCAGGGAGAAGGTTGAAGAGAAAGGATCTCACATCGCTTGGTAGTATCATCTGTACTATCATCTGTACTATCATCTGTACTATCATCTGTACTATCATCTGTACTATCATCTGTACTATCATCTGTACTATCATCTGTACTATCATCTGTACTATCATCTGTACTATCATCTGTACTATCATCTGTACTATCATCTGTACTATCATCTGCACTATCATCTGTACTATCATCTGTACTATCATCTGTACTATCATCTGTACTATCATCTGTACTATCATCTGTACTATCATCTGTACTATCATCTGTACTATCATCTGTACTATCATCTGTACTATCATCTGTACTATCATCTGTACCATCATCTGTACTATCATCTGCACTATCATCTGTACTATCACCTGTACTATCACCTGTACTATCACCTGCACTATCACCTGCACTATCATCTATACTACTCTCACATCCCATGATAACAAGGTTGTTTTAAGACGTCTCAAAACAAACTTGTTATCACGTGGCTCTCAACGCCCTCACCCTCTCACGTCTCATCCTTCCTTATACTCACTCACCCTCTCAACTCCCCATCCTCATCCCTCATCCCCACCTCCCCGTCCTCACCTCTCGTGGTCGAAGCACGACTTGATGTTGCAGAAGTAGCTGTCACTGCGACAAATGGTGGCACTAGAGACTGCACCACGCTCTTCCTTATGCTCGCCCTCCTCACCTCAACTTCCCCACCACACCCTCCTCACCTCTTGTGATCGAAGCACGAGTTGACGTTGCAGAAGTAGCTGTCACGAGCCAGATAGTCAAACCTGCAGGCCACAGTGCGCGCGAGGAAATCCGGACCCCACACCACACAACACACACAGTGAGAGAAGCTTTTGAACCAACAAGATGAAGGTAAACGGAATGCACTGAGGAAGGGCCAGACAGCACGCACACTCACTTGTCCACGTCTATTCCCGTGCGTGCATTGGCTAGAATGTTTCATAGAAACTCCCTGTAAACTACTAAGGCCAAACGCAATGCACTGATGAAGGTCTGAAGAGGACACGGAGTTACTCACTTGTCCACGTCTATTCCCGTGCGTGCATTGGCCACAATGTCCCATAGAAACTCCTTCCCTGTGTAGTCCTGCACTCATTACAAGCACACAGGGGAGGAGAGGAGGGATACTGTCTGTCAGGCGCCTCACAGCGCGTTGGCTACAATGTCCCATAGAAACTCCTTCCCTGTGTAGTCCTGCACTCATTACAAGCACACAGGGGAGGAGAGGAGGGATACTGTCTGTCAGGCGCCTCACAGCGCGTTGGCTACAATGTCCCACAGAAACTCCTTCCCTGTGTAGTCCTGCACTCATTACAAGCACACAGGGGAGGAGAGGAGGGATACTGTCTGTCAGGCGCCTCACAGCGCGTTGGCTACAATGTCCCATAGAAACTCCTTCCCTGTGTAGTCCTGCACTCATGCAATCCACATGCGAACGGAAGGAGGGAGACATTCAGGAGCCTAGTTAGCAACTCGTTGGCCACACCACAGTATCCTGTCTCGTAGGACAATGAGGCTCCTTCCCACCACAGTCCCACTACACACGAGCACGCAGACGCACACACACACGCACACACACGCGCCGCACACGCACACACGCGCGCGCGCACATACACGCGCACACACACGCGCACACGCACACACACGCGCACTCGCACACCCACGCGCACGCGCACACACACACACACGCGCACACGCACACACGCGCGCGCGCGCACACACACGCGCACACACAAAAGGGCGCAGTGCTTTCTTACACTACTAGCTGGCGCCATGCCTCCCAGCAACGCAACTTCTTCCCACTGTACTGCTGCAAATACCTCGAGCAGGAGATAATAAAATTAAGGCCTTCAGGCTGAATAATCGCTTGCCATAGTGCTCCTTACCACAGAAATTCATTCGCCTGGTAGTGATGCAAACACTCCAGCAAAAACCTACCCATCCTTACCACCCATCCTCCACCCCCACCTCCACACCATTTACCTACCCTTCTCCCCCTCTTTGACTTGTCTGGTAGAATGAGACTCTGAGGGGGTGAAAGAGGGGGGCGGCACAGAGAGAGGGACAGCAAGACAGAACTGGGGGGTGAGGGTAAGAAAATACAAAAGAGGCTGATGGGTAGGCGCGGACTGAATGAGCAGAAAGAGGGATGAAAACGATGTGGACGAATGTCAGCAGTGAGACACATGACAATATGTGAGACATGAATGTCACCCATGGTCCATGGATGTTTTCTATTCGAAACTAGATTGAATTTTTCCTCGATTTTTTAGGCGCCTCAAAAATCATGACTCGACTCCGTGGAAGAATGTTGGCAATGAGAAACGGGATATGATCATATGAGATATTTAACACCTCTAAATCGCATTAATTTTAGATAATCATGCAAATCAGAGGTGCTGATGGAGGTCACCTCTTCCATGCTCCCTCATCCATCCTTTCATCCTCATGCTGCTACCCTCATTCTCTCACCCTCATGCCCCCTATCTCACCTTAATGGTGGCAACAATATCAGGGTCAATTTCAATGTTGTTGTTGTTGCCAGGTGTATTCTCAGGGAATGCATGCCCACTCCTCTACCTCCATCCTCTCACCTTTATTACTCTCTCCCCTTCAATGCTCTCTCACGTGGATAGTGGCAACAGTATCAGGGTCAATGTCAATGTTGTTGTTTTCAATCACTCGCTCCACCACCTCCACTGACCGCCTCTCATGTACCTCCTCCCTCTCCCTTTCAGTGCTATCTCACCCTCATGCTCTCACTCTCACCTGGATAGTGGCAACAGTATCTCGGTCAATGTCAATGTTGTTGTTGTCAACCATTCGCTCCACCAGATCCACTGACCGTTTCTCATGGTGCCTGATAGCTCGAGTGGTGCATGGGAGGGAGGTTGGGATAGGGTTAGTGTACGGGTAGGGGCACGGATGGAATACGGGTAGGTAAGTGAGTGCTCGTGCAGAGACAGGGGTCGACGTTTTAGTTGTTGGTTTCAACCATTCGCTCCACCAGATCCACTGACCGTTTCTCATGGTGCCTGAAACACACAGATGCCACGACACAAGCACGTGGCAGCGATCTGTGGTGGGGGATGCGTGCAGGGGTACATAGGGTTCGGTGAGTGAGTGCTCGTTGCTCGTGCAGGGAAACGGGTCAATGCCAATGATGTTGTTACCAACCACTCGATCCACCAGCTCTGCTGACCGCCTCTCGTGATGCCTGAGATAAATGATTCCACATCGTTCCATGCGGTTCCGAGGTGTTTGAAAAGCACAATAGATGTCTATCGAGATGCAAATGTGTTTACATAGTGCCCTTGCAAGTGGAATCATGCAGGTAAAATCAACTCTGCAGCACGCACATACCAGTCGGATCCAGGGCAGAAGTGGGAGAAGATGGCGTTATCGAGCATGTGGCTGAAGCACCCATGCCCCATGTCATGGCACAGCCCGGCCAGAGTAACCGCCATGACGTCATCATCATTGATTTCCAGCTCGGGCTGCTGCCGCCTCAGCGATTCCACCACCTGATTGGCCAGATGGGAGGTCCCTATGGAATGTTCTAGCCGCGTGTGATTGGCTGATGGGTACACGTAGTGGCAGACGCCTAGCTGGCGGATGTACCTTAGCCGCTGAAACTCGCACGTGTCAATGATGCTTAGGCTGGTCTGTGGATGGGATTGAGGGAGGGTTGAAACGGGTAAAGGGGGATGGAGAGGAATGGAGAGAGATGGAGAGGAGTGAGCAGGGGTGAAATTGGACGGGAGAAGGGAAAACTGTTTTGGTGAACGGCAGGAAGGAACGAGACTGGACCAAAAACCGTTAACGGCTACAGGTATCGTCCCTTGTCAACGGCATTGTGACCATGAATAGTGCGAAATTCACAACTGAGTGATGTGACAACACAAAGCCCAGTCCCCATCGTTGGCGCTGACTCCTGCATTTTGTGAGCTTAAATGATTCCTCTCCCTGAATTTCCATACTTTCTTCCCGGTTGCAAGTATCGTACCTTGTCAACGGTAACGTGGCCATAAACGGTGACAACTGAGTCGACTCAAACGAAAAAACTGTTCCACGTCATTGGCGCTGAATCACTTACCTCGCCAACCAGGCGAAATTCCCACCGTTCAAGTCGACTCAGCAGCATTATCGTACCCGTCGACCGTTATATGGTCGTGAATGGGATCGTTAAACAGCTTCGAGCCATTCTCTAAACAAGAGTTTTTCCGTACCTTGTCGACAGTTATGTGGCCGTGAATGGGATCGTTAAACAGCTTCGACCCGTTCCCGTGAATATGACTCATCGCTCCGGTGTTGGACGGGACAGCACTTTTGTGAAGGATCGAATGGAAACCCACGAGCTAGGCGATATCGTGAATCCTAAAACTGAATGTTCTCGCGACGGTACTCTGGTTCACGAATTAACGATCATATCGAGAAGCAGCGTGAAGGATTTATTGAAAACCCACGAGAGAAACGCTATCCTAAAACGTAGCTTGATTCAGGTTCGAGGTTTAAAACATAACCAATTTCGCTAATGAATGTCCTCGCAACGCTATTCTGGTTGAAGGATCAACGGTCATATCAAGAAAGGCCTCGAGAATAAACCAGGGAGCTTAGCCAGCCATGCACCAACAACAGAAGGCTTGGCTTGCAAATACTCACTGGTGAAGCGCCTGTGTGTGTTTGCGGAGTTCCCAAGAGAGCGATGGTGAGGTGATACATGCATGGCGGCGTGGTATATCTACCCAGAGCGTGACCCCAGAAGTTCGGATAACCACCGCTCTGAAACGTAGGATAACGTACTCCGACACAGAATACCGTGTACAACCTACGGACTTTGGCACCATGGCTTCGTGCGGGGGGGAAAGCGAAACCACGCACTCATGCATGCAAGGCGATTTTCGGTAGAACGTGAAGTGTTGCATGCACTACAGTGATACGCGCAAGGTCGAACAAACAATCTCTCAGCTGTATTGAAAATGAGGACGAATCAACACACTAGGGAATACGGTAGCAGTGACAAGAATTTGAAGCACAAACGTAGCGCTATGAAATAGTGGTGTACAACACACACCTTGCTGGCATCTCCACTAACATATTACAGCATTATTTTGTCCACATTTGGTTTCTACATACCACTTCTGTACAGTGTCAGCACTGTGTCAGCTGCACTACTGTGCAGCACTCGCTTGATAGTCATAATTCTCCTTATCTTGGCTTCTCTCCCACACCTTTTGCAGCGGCACTGTGTCAGCAGCACCACCCACACCACTCCCACTGCCACCACCACCACCACCACCACCACTACCAGCACCACCAGCACCACCAGACAGTCGCTACCGGTGTTGCTCCCATCGCAGGTACATCCGGGGGAGGGTTCATCTCCAGGAGGGTGACGAGCTCAGCAGTGGTCTTGAGCGCATGGGAGAAGCGCCAGAGCGTGTTGAACAGAGCCACCACCTCATTGCGCTGCAGACTCAACTGCTCCGCTCCATGCCCCTGCACATACCCATGTTCTTTGCCACCATTGCCATTCCCATTGCCATTACCGTTGCCACCGTTGCCATTCCCGTGACCGTTGCCGTCAACAGAGAAGAGGATCTTGAGGGCCGTGGCGAGGCCAAGAATCTCCAGCTTACCCCACAGGCGGCAGCGCTCGCACCCCACACAGTCCATGATAAGGCTGCGGTGGGAAGGGGTGGGGAGTGGTAGAGAGCAATAGAGAGTGGTTGAGAAGAGGATCTTAAGAACTGTGGCGAGCCCGAGAATCTCCAGCTTGCCCCACAGGCGGCAGCGCTCACACCCAACACAGTCCATGATCAGGCTGGGGTAGTGGGAAGAGGTGGAGAGAAATGGAGAGTGGTGGGAACAGCTTGCCCCACAGGCGGCCGCTCCTGCACCCTACACAGCCCATTCAACACGCACCTGATATTCCCTGAAGTGCCCCTGCAGCGTCTGCTTGAGCTGAGGCCCCTCATCCCCTCGCCACATCCTCGCCTCGTCAAACGGCAACGGGCAAGCCGCCTGCAGCCAGTCACTCTGCACCATGCTACCACCTGATGCCTCTCAAACACACCCACCTTATATTTCTGAAGTGCCCCTGCAGCGTCTGCTTGAGCTGAGGCCCTTCATCCCCTCGCCACATCCTCGCCTCGTCAAACGGCAGAGGGCAAGCCGCCTGCAGCCTCTGATTTCGCACCACCTGCTGCACCAGCGCTGCCGTCTGTGTATCCTCTAAAGGGTTCCCTGTGTTGTACGACGCCCGTGACAAGAAATCCGCTGCCTGTTCTCAGCGCGAGAAGGGATAAAGGGTAAGTAAGTAGTGTGTTACAAAAATGAATAGTGCTAAATAGAGAGTATTTACCAATAGGTTGTGCTGCAGCAATGTTGCCAGATACACAGATGAGAAGCGCGCTTGTTTCCAATAATATGTCATTTACGGGGAAATGTCCAGCAAATATTGAGAATCGGCTCAAACAGACGCAAAGAGTGCGCTCACCTTGGTGGCAGCTCGCAGCACAAAGAGAAATGTGAAGTAGAGGTTGGCCAGGCGCTCGTTTACCAGACAACAGTCAGTAAATGCCAATGCTAGAGTGCGCTCACCTTGGTGGCAGCTCGCAGCACAAAGAGAAATGTGAAGTAGAGGTTGGCGAGGCGCTCAGGGAACTTGGCCACGCGGTGATGGAAGATGGTGATGTTGGGGCCCCACTGGTGAATGGAGGGGCAGGGGAGAGGGGAGAGGGGAAAGGAGGGGAGAGGGGAGAGGGGAGAGGGGAGAGGGGAGTGGGGAGAGGGGAGAGGGGAGAGGGGAGTGGGGAGAGGGGAGAGGGGAGAGAGCAGGGAGAGGGGAATGAGGAGGAGAGCTGGAAGGGACCTTGGAGACGCGGTGGTGGAAGATGGTGATGTTGGGGCCCCACTGTATGGTGCGGGAGAGAGGGGAAACACGAGTGAGGGAGACGGGGAAATGGAAGGTGGTGATGTTGGGGCCCCACTGGCGTATGATGGGAGAAGGGAGGAAGTGGGGGGGAAACGGGGTTGGGAATAGGAACGGGAGCAGGGGAAGGGGAATGAGACAGAGAGCAAAAAAGGGATCTTGGCGACATCTCAGCAAGTAGGACCGGTGGTAAGATGTTCTGCTCGGTCAACATCTCACCACACCCCGTTGCCAAATCCCATTCTTCCCAGGGATGATTAGACTCTACCAAAGGACAAGTCCCAACCTTCGACCTCACCAACTCCCCTTCGCCTTCTCACCTGCCTGGCTGCAGCATCCCATATTTGTGACGCAGGCACGTGCACTGATATCGCCTGGTGCAGCCCGGAGATCAGTCGGTACAGCACCCGCCTCTCACTGCACTCGTCTTTGGTGTGTCTATTCTATATGGACCCACCGCTCTACTTGAAACCCTCACCTGTCCAGCTGAAGAGTCCCAGATCTGGGAAAAGCAGCCACGTGCACTGATATCGCCTGGTGCAGCCCGGAGATAAGCCGGTACAGCACCCGCCTCTCCGTGCACTCATCCCTTGTGGGTCGACTCTACATGGTCCGTTCTATGCCACGCCCCTAGCCCCCTCACCTGTCCTGCTGCCGAGTCCCATATTTGTGAAGCAGCCACGTGCACTGATATAGCCTGGTGCAGCCCGGACATAAGCCGATAAAGCACCCGCCTCTCCGTGCATTCATCCTTCGTCCCGTCCTGGAAGCAGCTCTCCTGGTAGATGGCCTGCCAGATGCGCCGCGCTGAATCGCCCCCGTACCCCGTGTAGCGCTCTGGGTTCAGGGCTAGGTTCACGTACACTTGGGAGGCTGAGGGAGCGTCGGTGGGGAGGGGGTATAGGGGAGACAGTGGGGACGGAAGAGCAGCCTTGGTACCGTCCTGGAAGCAGCTCTCCTGCCAGATGCGGCGAGCCGAGTCGCCCCCATAGCCGGTATACCTTTCAGGATTCAGGGCTAGGTTCACATACACCTGGGAGGCTGTGCGGTGGGGGGAGAGAGGAGGGCGGATACGAGGTGTACACACAGCAGCAGTCCTGGAAGCAGCTCTCCTGGTACATGGCCTGCCAGATGCGCCGCGCTGAGTCCCCCCCATAGCCCGTGTAGCGTTCCGGGTTCAGGGCTAGGTTCACGTAGACCTGGGAGGCTGTGAGGTGGGGGGAGAGAGGAGGGAGGATACGAGGTTTACACACAGCAGCCGTCCTGGAAGCAGCTCTCCTGGTACATGGCCTGCCATATGCGCCGCGCAGAGTCCCCCCCATAGCCTGTATAGCGCTCTGGATTGAGAGCCAGATTCACGTACACCTGGGAGGCTGTGAGGTGGGGGGAGAGCGGAGGGCGGATACGAGGTGTACACACAGCAGCCGTCCTGGAAGAAGCTCTCCTGGTACATGGCCTGCCAGATGCGGCGCGCTGAGTCGCCCCCGTACCCCGTGTAGCACTCTGGATTCAAGGCCAGGTTGACATACACTTGGGAGGCTGAGGGAGCGTCGGTGGGGAGGGGGTATAGGGGAGAGAGTGGGGAAGGAAGAGCAGCCTTGGTGCCGTCCTGGAAGCAGCTCTCCTGCCAGATGCGGCGAGCCGAGTCGCCCCCATAGCCGGTATACCTTTCAGGATTCAGGGCTAGGTTCACGTACACCTGGGAGGCTGTGAGGTGGGGGGAGAGGGGAGGGAGGATACGAGGTTCACACACAGCAGACGCCCTGGAAGCAGCTCTCCTGGTAGATGGCCTGCCATATGCGCCGCGCTGAGTCCCCTCCATAGCCGGTATACCTTTCGGGATTGAGTTCAAGATTCACATACACCTGGGAGGCTGTGAGAAGAGGGGAGGGGTGGGGTGTGGGGGGAGGGACGAAGTGCATGAGAAGCAGCTCTCCTGGTAGATGGCCTGCCAGATGCGCCGCGCTGAGTCGCCCCCGTACCCTGTGTACCGTTCCGGGTTCAGGGCTAAGTTGACATACACCTGGGAGGCTGTGTGTGTGGCAGGTAAGGCAGAGGGATGCGGGGAAAGGAGGAAAATGTGAGAGGAGGGCTTTTGGTCGAGCCGTCCTGGAAGCAGCTCTCCTGGTAGATGGCCTGCCAGACGCACCATACCTGCCCTGCCTCACTCTCATCATCAGCCGCCCAGTATTATCTGCCTCCACGATCAACGGTGGAGCAATCACCATCCACCCAGGGCTTTTGAGGCGCCTCAAAAATCGTCTCCACGATCAATGGTGTAGCAATCCCCCATCCACCCAGGGGTAAGACGTGTTCTGGTAACTCAATTTCCGTACCCAATCCGTTTCACTGTACCTGTGTCACTCTCGTCATCGGATGTCCATGTGTTATCTGCCTCCACCCACGCCTGAAATGCACCGGGGCACCCCCAAAACTGTAACGCCCTTGTACCATTATATCTGTATCATAGCATATCTGCTCACCTGTATCGCTCTCGTCATCAGACGTCCACGGGTTATCCACCTCAACCCACGCCTGAACCACTCTGTAGTGACTGCATCCCATCACACTCACCATCATGCCTACATGTTTCACCATACCTGTGTCACTCTCATCATCAGACGTCCACGGGTTATCCGCCTCAACCCACGCCTGAAACGCACCGGACCACCCCAGCAATTGCAACACCCTTGTACCATTATATCTGTTTCATATTACATCATATCTGCTCACCTGTGTCACTCTCATCATCGGACGTCCACGGGTTATCCGCCTCCACCCACGCCTGGAACGCGCTCCGATCCACCGTTCGATCCACCAACCCCGCCGCTGACTCAGCCGATGCTGACTCATCCGCACTCGGGTCCAGGTCAGCGTCGCGTGGCTCGTCCACGTCAGCAGGGAGCAGCGAGGGTGCGGGCGGGGAGGGGCAGCGGAGGGCGGGGGGGACCTCGTCGTCCTTGCACTCCCCACAGAACAGTCCCTTGAGTGGCACATGCCATCGTCTGGCCAGAAGGGACAGTTGCACCACAGACGAACCTGATGGGGAGAGACAGGATTGGGTGGAATGGGGTGGAGTGCGGTGGGGCTGGGTGGTAAGTGGTAGGGACCACATGGTCCTTGCACTCTCCCACAGAGCAATCCCTGGAGTGGCACATGCCGTCGTCCGGCCAGAAGGGACAGTCACACCACAGCCGGACCTGAGAGAGGGGGGTGGGATGGGATGGGGTGGGGTACAGTGCGGTATGATGGGGTAACGGGGCAGGGACTTCGTCGTCCTTGCACTCCCCTATAGAGCAATCCCTGGAGTGGCACATGCCGTCATCGGGCCAGAAGGGACAGTCACACCACAGACGAACCTGAGTTCATCCACTGTCTGCTACTCATGTCGTGTGCTCAGCAAACCATCTGGAACCGCCACGTACCTTACAGCACCGCATTGAACCGACCTTGAAGTAATTGAAGAAGGTGGTGTTGACGAGCTGGGTCAGCAGCGGCTGTAGCACGTGCGAGTTGAATTCATCCACTGCATGCTACCCCACGTGCTCTGTAACCCCTCTAGAACTACTGCGCACCTTGCAGTACCGAACTGAACCGAGGTGAGTTTTACCGACCTTAAAGTACTTGAAGAAGGTGGTGTTGACGAGCTGGGTCAGCAGGGGCTGTAACACGTGCGAGTTCAGATCGTCCACTGTCTCGTACTCGCAGCAGCAGTCGTCCACCACGCCTGACAACCGCTTCACCTGCATGTGACACGTGGCAGAAACAGGTGACACGTGGCAGCAGAAAAGTTGGGTTGGGTTCATCCACTGTCTCGTACTCGCAGCAGCAGTCGTCCACCATGCCTGGCAGCCGCTTCACCTGCGAGTGACACGTGGCAGCAGATAAGTTGCAAAAAGGTACAGTTACCGAGGCAAGGCAAAGACGCGGCTGTTGGTGCAGAGGTTAACAGCAGGGGAAGGCATGCCATCGCAAAATACCATGGATGTGGAGTTAGGCAGTAAAACGCAAATCAGAAACTTGATGAGCATAAAGAGCTTGACGTGCGTACCTGACACGCGAGGTGCAAATCTGACACGTAACGTACGTACCTGACACGTAACGTACGTACCTGACACGTAACGTACGTACCTGACACGTGCAACCAGAATCCGGTTGAGATGTAACGGAAACTGATGACGCCGACGGTTTCCTCGAGATTGCCGCCGCCTCCACAGGCTGTGGAGAATCTCCGGTTGCTGGAACCTCCTCAGCAAGCTTCACGCCCCATTGTCGCAACACCTGGTTACAAAACTCGCTGCTTTTCGCAGCAACGGCCGTGACATATTCCGGTCGCGATACTGCCACCGCTACAGCCACGACAGCGACTGTCGCGGCCAGAGCTAACCAAAAAAACTTTCCTGATCCTTGATGCGTTTTCTTAGCCCTTTTTTTAGCGGTGCCATTTTGCTGGTGCTGTCCGTGAGCCGGCTCGCCGTTCGCCGGCGCCATGACCGAGCGGCGCGTGATGTCTTTGCTTACTCCTTATGCACGAGATCTAGAAAACGTATGCTTCACAAAATGGGAGTTTGTTCCTCGCTGAAAGACGTTATTTGTACGGAGACACGTGTTCAGGCAAGTCGATTCTGAAGACAAGTTGCAAAGCGTGACTGTGAAAAACTAGCGACTTCACGTTGCGTTGCCTCGATTTCCCGTGACCAGCACGCTAGTAACTTCGACGTCTAACGAGCTAAGACGAGCGTAACTTCATCGTCAGAACCAAAGCAATGCTTGACATATCTGATAACGATCTAGCAGCAGCTAGCTCAGAAAATATCATAACGGATTTGAGATGTGGAGATATCAATGCTGAACAAACAAGGCTGTGGAAAACCGGCTAGTCCTGATTTCAGACGGGTAAATAATGGTTTAGAACGGTGAGAAGAGATAACCGTTTTGAAGACCACAGCATCGTGCTCAACCGTATCTACCAGTCTGACAGTGAACTCGTCTGGCACTCCGTCAAGGCGTGTATCGAAAGAACCGTTCCCGACTGTAGGTTATCGTACTACATCGTTTCAACCGAACACAAAGGCACGCCTGGTTCCACGCCCTCATCCGACGATCCAGATTCTTCCCAGGGCTGGTCGCCGTGTCGTGCGTGACCGCCTGGAAGATCGCATTCCCGCTCGTGCTTCTGGAAGCAGTGGACGGGTGAAACGTGTTCCGACCCGACCAATCAGCCTCGTTGTAGCCCCGTTAGACAGGCGAGAGAGCATGCTGTGCTGGCGCAGACTTGTACTTCCTCCGTCGCAGTTGCCTGTAACGAAAAGCAGAATATATACTTTCATGTGAGTTACATTTTACCTGTACCGTCTACACTTTACATCCTGTTTTGCGGAATTCCACATCTGCCTTCCAGATCCATATTCTCCAAATTGTGCTCCTTTCGCAAGGCGAGCTTCGCAGCCGATTCGCCAGCACGAACGAGGCTGGACGAGGAACAACAGCGGGTATTTGCGAGAGTCGTCAACCATCAAACGGCACTTGCGGTACGTGGAGAAGGCTTCGTCGCACCGCCAAGTCAAGCAGGTTCGAGCCGCATGTCCGAACTTTGCTTCATAATCAACTTTGCCACATTCTGCACTGCCGTTTCTCCACTTCGTCATTCTCTCCTCAATCTCACCTCTTGTAGAGCACAGCTCGTGCTCTGCTCCTTCCAAGGGTGAGTACTCTCGCTACTGAGTTTCATCTCTAGTAAATACCGTGCTGCGTCAAGGGTGAGTCCCCGACGCAGATTAACCGGCTCAATTTCTGTCGGAACCTGTACGCGTGTCGAATCGATACGTTATTTCGTGCAATAAATCAGACGCCTCATCATGAAAACCGAAGCGGCGCCGCTGCTCCGTCCGCGCTTTTCTGCTTGCCGCCTAGTAGCTCTCGCTGTCAGCGTAGTACTTTTCTGTATTAACACGGTTCAGGCTCGTTCTACCGGTGCTCCTCTCGAGTCTTTCCACCTCAACAGTAATGCGTTTCCCGCAGCACCGGAACTACCATCGCTGCTGCCGAGCGTACCCATCCGCATCCCAGAGGCGGTCAGATCCCGCCTTCCCCGGCCGCACCTCTTTGGGAACAAGTACGACCTTCCCCAGGCACACCTCTTTGCAGACAGATCCCACATACCCCGGCCAAACCTTCCCAGCGTGAGTCCGCAACGCCGCGTCACGACTGGCGCCGATGGAGCAAGAAAACTGCTGCTGGAGGAGACCCCTTATACCGAAGCTTATAATAGCGCGGATGCGTACAGCGCGGCGGTGCTCGCGCTGACAGCAGCAGAGGTACCGGCGTCAGAAGTAGATGGTAATACGATTGGGGGAAGCGACGATGATGATGGTGGTGGTGAGACCATGCGCCACACTTCGACTGGCGGAGAGGACGGGGAAGTGGACGGGGGAGGCGACGGCGGAGGGGGCGGGGGAGGGGGCGTGGGAGCCGTCGGCGGTGGGGGCGGGGGAGGGAATGGGGGAGGGGACGAGGGAGGAAGCTCTGAGTGGCCGTCACTCGCGGAGGGGGGTCAGGAGGTCGATGGTAGCGAGGGGAGCGCGGAGAGTCGCCAGCCTGCCACGTGGTGCGACAACGAAGCGTGCTTACGTGGCGCGCTGCTGGATCTCGCGCCCACCGTCTACCTCACGCGCCACCTGTACCTGACCAATGGCGAGCTGCCAGCTGTCAGACACGCGGTGGCCGTGACGGGCTTGTGTTCGTCCGATCAGTGCACGATCGACGGCCAGGGGCAGTCCAGGGTGAGACGGAGGGAATGAGGCGGAAGGGGTGAGAGGGAGGATTGAGAAGGGATTGAGATGGAGATGGGATTGAGTCAGAATGATCAGCACGTCTGCGCAGGCGGCTACCTTGCGCTCCTTTTGAGTCATAATGAACATCGACTTCGAATACCCCTTTTGAATCCCCAACTTTACCCCCCCTTCCCCCCCGCGTCCCCCCTCAAACCATATGTGCCACCGGCCGTCAGATCTTCACCGTCCGAGCAGGCGGTTACCTGGCGCTGCAGAACATCGCTCTACTGCACGGATTGCAATCCATCCCCCACCCCAACCCAGCTTAAATCCCCCCATTCAAACCGCCCCACCCCCCCTCCTTTCTCGCCCCAGATTTTCACTGTCCGGGCAGGCGGTTACCTGGCACTCCAAAACATCGCTCTACTGCACGGGTTCGCCCCGCGGGGCAAGTTCGGCGGGGCAATTTTCGTTTCCGGGCTGCCCGACTCATCGCCTTCACCACTGGAGAATCTGCCCGGGGCCTACCTCTCCGCTATAAGCACGAGTTTCTTTAACAACAGCGGGGGTAGCGGAGGTGGGGCGGTGGCTATAGGGAGCAATGCGGCGGCGTTTTTCCATGGTGCCAATTTCGCATTTAACTCCGTTTTCATGGTATGTATGGCGTTTGAGTCCACTCAAAGTCAACGGGCGGGGGGGGGAGGGTGGTTGCTATAGGGAGCAATGCAGCAGGGTTTTTCCATGGCGCTAGTTTCGCTTTCAACTCGGTTTTCATGGTACGTGAGGCGGATACATGCATGAAGTATATGTGTATGGTGGCTGGGTTTTGAGTCGATTTAAGAGTCAGCCAAGGGGGGCGGTGGCTATAGGGAGCAACGCAGCGGCGTTTTTCCATGGCACCAATTTTGCATTCAACGCCGTTTTCATGGTATGTGTGGCGTGAGTATGGATGGTGGGTGATTGCACTGCATGTTTCCTTTCCTAGACAATGAACAACATAACTGTCGCTGCATTCCCGTCTGTCACTGCTGCCTTTCTCAAGCATAGTCTTATTTGCTTCACCCTCCACCCTCAACCCTCCCCAGGACGCTACTAACAAGCACCGGAGCAGGGGAGGGGCCATGTACCTGGGAGAACAGGCCGACAGGAGCATCAAACCCAGAGCAGCCAAGCAGAGCCACAATGGGACCACGCCTTCCAAGTCTACTGGGAGCAAAGCAGTGGCGTGTTCCCGATCCGCTCTCCCTCCCTGTGTGACTGTGCTCGACTCGCTGTTTGTTGCCAACTCGGCTGCTGTCGGGGGAGCCGTGTTCGTGGATGGGAGTGACCCTGCCTGCCACAACACCACAGCATCCCAGCAGGTACATTACAGTGCCGTCCTCATGTTCGCTTCCCCTCTTCCTGTGCCACCCTGCTGGACTTTCTCTTTCTCGCCAACTCTGCTGCTGTCGGCGGTGCTGTGTTCGTGGATGGGAGCGACCCCTCCTGCCACAACGCTACAACATCCCAGCAGGTACATTGAGGTGCCGTTCTGATGCTCGCCCTGCCTCTTCCCCTTCCTCTCTCCCTGTGTGACTGTTCTCGACTCGCTGTTTGTCGCCAACTCGGCTGCTGTCGGCGGTGCCGTGTTTGTGAATGGGAGCGACCCAGCCTGCCACAACGCATCATCAGCCCCGCAGGTACATTACAGTGCCGTTCTGCTGCTCGCCCTGCCCCTTCCCCTTCCTCTCGCCGTGTGTAGCGGTGCTCGACTCCCTCTTTGTGGCCAACTCTGCTGCTGTCGGCGGTGCCGTGATTGTGGATGGGAGCGACCCGACCTGCCACAACGCATCATCAGACCCGCAGGTACAACTCAGAGTCATGATGACGCTCCCCTCTCCCCCTTCCTCTCTCCATGATGAATGTCCCTTTTCCCCCACTGTACCACACCAACCAGGACCCCAGCAGCACACAGGGAGCGTCGCTGCACATGAGCAACGGGCTGTTCGAGGCCAACAGGGCTGCTGTGCCTCACTCACCGCCTTGGATGGAGGGGCAGAGCAGCAGCAATGTGGGCTCCCTATTCCTTCCGTCCTTGCCACCTGGCCCCTGTGCCCCACTCTTCCCTCGCACCAACCAGGACCCCAGCAGCACACAGGGAGCGTCGCTCCACATGAGCAGCGTGCTGTTAGAGGCCAACAGGGCTGCTGTGGATGGAGGGGGTTGTGGATGCCAAACGTGTGTTTGCTTGCACCCTTTCCTCCCACCGCCCCACAACCACACCAACCAGGACCCCAGCAGCACACTGGGGGCGTCGCTGCACATGAGCAACGGGCTGTTAGAGGCCAACAGGGCTGCTATGGACGGAGGAGCAGCGGCTGTGCGTCTCCGTCACTCTGTCCTTCACGCCTGGCCCCTTCCCTCCAACCAGGATGATACCGCACTGGGGGCGTCGCTGCACATGAGCAACGGGCTGTTAGAGGCCAACAGGGCTGCTGTCGATGGGGGAGCAGCGGCTGTGGGGTCTCACGGGCGACTTGGGGGGCAAGCTTCATTCTCCACCGTCCGATTCAATAAGAATTCCGCACGGGTAAGTGTGGATTTGATCTCCGCCATTTAATTCAACTCAGTGTGTGTCGGATGCTCTCCACCGTCCGATTGATGAAATGACCCGAACCATCTGCTTTCTGCTTCCCTTCTTTAATATTCACCTAAACTACTCTTTCCTACCCCTGGTGCAGAGGGATGGAGGAGCGCTGTTCGTGGGGGGAGGCCGTCCCGACCATGCCGGTAGAAGAGTCACTGTCTATGATGCATCGTTTCTTAGTAACACTGCTGGTCACAGTGCTTCTAACCCTGTCCTCTTCTTCTCCCTGCCTGCCTGCCTGCCTGCCTGCCTGCCTGCCTGCCTGCCTGCCTGCCTGCCTGCCTGCCTGCCTGCCTGCCTGCAGAGGGATGGAGGAGCGCTGTTCGTGGGGGGGGGCCGTCCCGACCATGCCGGCAGCACAGTCACTGTCTATGATGCGGCGTTCCTCAGCAACACTGCTGGTAACCCTGTTACCAAGCCTGTTTCCAGAAAATCTGGGCATCCAAAAACAGGAAACCTGCAGGGCGGTGCTGACATGGCAGTGAGGCGATGGGCGTCCGCTCACATCCATCACAGTACCTTCCAGGAAGCTTCCTCGCTGGTCACCCAATCAGCCTCCTCTCCTCCCTCCTCGCACCCCTCCTCCACCACCTCCTCCTCCTCTGTACCCCATAATTTCCCCTCTTCATCCTCCCCCACCAACCCCCTTCTCTGTGTGGGTTCGTGCATCATCTGCCAAAACACCACCACTCCAGATACCCCTCGTGCAAGAGGCAACGTGACTATATCCAACTGTGAGTGTAACAGAATAAACGTATTGGAGCATCCTCTTCCCTTCCTTCCTCTCCTCTCCTCTCTCCCCCTTTCCCCTTCCCTCCCCTCCCCTTTCCTATTTTCAGAAACCACATTCTCTTCCCTTGTTCTCCCCACCCCTTCCCCCTCCCCCCATTTCAGCAGCTGATTGCCTCCGCACCCCTCCACCCTTCACCTGCCCTTTCCTTCCCACCTACCTCAAGGCTATTCCTCCCCAATCTGCATCAGCATCAGCACCAGCACCAGCATCAGCAGCTGCTGCTGCAGTATCTCCTACCACACCTCGTCCCCTCTCCACCATCTCCTCCCTCCCTGCTTCTGCCCCTACACCTGCCACTGCCACTGCCCCTGCTGCTACACCTGCCTCTTCTGGTCATGCCACTGCCACTGCCCCTTCCCCCACTCCCACGCCAACCACTCCGGTCTCTGACTGTGCCTGCCCCCAACCGGAAGTGACACCGTCCTCCACCCCTTCCACCTCCTTTCCCTCTCCACCCGCCTTACCTCCTCCCTGCGCTCGTCACCTGCGGGAGAAGCTTTCAAAGGAGCCTCAACCACCAAGGTGAACCCCCTCTTTCTAAGCACACCCATGCTGCAATTCTCCTATGTTGCACATGCCAATTTTTCACACTCTATGTAGTACAATATATTTCCATACGAATGTATTCTGAATTCAACTCCTTGTTTTCCGAACTACAGTTATAATAAGACAACTCAACGCAATGTGACCGGAGACCCGCACATAGTGGGGCAGCTCGGAAAGAAACTCGATTTCCACGGCAAGCCTGGAGAGAGCTACTGTTTGCTCTCATATTCAGATATACACGTTAACATGCGCCTCGTTGCTGGGCCGCATAATGGCACAACGGTAAGAAATCAATCAAACATGTATTTTGCGCTGACACAATGGTTTGCTTGTCTAAGCTCGTTTCTCTTGCAGTATATGGATGAACTCGGCATACTGTATAAAAACAAGGGAGCACACAGCAGTGAATATGATTTGGTGGAGATTGTTGTGGTTGCACTGTCACATCCCGGTGCAAGGGTTTCGGGTTTTCAAGGAGGACTCTTCATTAATGGAGCCGAATTGCCTAACGTTGATTTAACAGTCTCCATGAGCAATAAGATGCTCAGAGTGGATCGCACTAGCAGATCTGTGCGGATTCACGTCACAAGTACACTCGATATGACTATTGACATCAGAAGAGCAGCGTTCAATCACAATACCGGCAAATGGGTGCACCAAAACCATGTAAGTGTTGTATACTGGTTGGTGCTGTTCATCAATTCAATGGTTTGTCACTACATTCACTATCACAAAACATTTCTTTTATTGCAGCTGAATGTGAGGTTAGGGAGTTTCAAGGAGTCGAAATCTGTGCATGGGCTTCTTGGGAAGATCAATCAGACCAACTCTTCAAGGCTTGCAAGGACAAAAGGATCAATAGGAAAGGAGGGTGACAGCAAGGAGCACACAAATTTTGATGGTGAGGATAGTTATAGGGTATCAGGCTTGCTCGAAGCTGACTGTAAATACACCCAATTCAGAATGCCCTGAGCAGTGGTAGTTGCGTATGATAGCTACCCGTATTAGAAGTCCCAGACAGATCTTCCTACCACCATATGCATGCCATGGTTCCTCATAACATTTGTTTTTCCTACAACAAATGCAAAACACGTACCATGTAGCTGCAGCTCTAATGATGTCAGAACCCCGTTTCGATATCTCACGCTTTGAATTCTCCGTCAGCCAATCAGCCTCGGCCATACCCGCACGCCTCGAGAACATCCCAGCATTTCCCGCCCAGAGAGTGTCAGTTCTTACAGTTCTCAAGGCAGGTCCTCCTGTCAGTGGGATTTCTCAGGTATTGTCAGTTTACATCGGGAATTCCAATCCAACTGCAGTGCTTAGAGAGGTTGCCGTATGACTCTCTTGAGACCGGAGAAGAAATGCATAATAGACAGAGAGCCAGCATCAGTAGCGATTAGGAGGTCCGTACACAGATAATTGCTGCGTGATTGAGATGCTTTACTGTTTCCTTCCTAGTTTACTATATATGCGTGAGCACCTCGGGATCGCCGAAGCTTGGAAGTTTAACACGAGTTCTGGAACTGTTTTTTCGAGTTGTTATTCCTCTCTGATGCACCCAGCGCCCTAAGAAACGTAGCAATGACCAAGGAATGCAGTAAAGAGCAGCTGCTTCGGGTTTTGGAGGACCCCAGCCCGACCGCTTTCCTCGAGTTGATGCTTCGCCACGTGTCGAAACAGGATCCGCTGAACTTAAGCCACGTGGTATCAGGCTTCAATAGAAGCACCACTCCCCGTCTATGCTCCGCTCTGCTCCACCTCACGTCGCGCACGCTCGATAAGGTGCTTCAGCTGATCGCAGTACGCGACGCGACTGCGTCGCAGCACACGACTCCAAGCACCGCCAATGCCTCAACCGCTGCCTCCGCTAACGTCTCCGCTCATGCCTCCACTAACGTCTCCGCGCACGGCTCCGCGCAGGGCTCCGCTAATGTCTCCGCGGATGCCTCCGCTCATTTTTCCGCTAACGGCTCCGCTAACGTCTCCGCTCATGCATCCGCTCATGTCTCGGGAGCAGCAGCAGCAGTGGCTTCAGCAGCAGCGGGAACAGAAGCAGCAGCCTCGGGAGCTGCTCCAGCAGCAATGGCAGCAGGAGCAGCGGTTGCAGCAGCAGCAGCAGCAGGAGAAGCAGCAGCAGCAGCAGCGGGTTCAGTTTCGGGAGCGTCCTCGCAATCAGAATCAGAGGACGAAGCCCGCGCAGTTCTCTGGGGAATTCTCACAATAACGCGTCTTCTCTTATCGGAGTTGTTTTCAGGATCCGGGAGCGCGGTTACCCCGCCAGCGGACCTGCTAACCGTCTGCCAGTCCATCCATAACATTCTTATCGACCTGAGTGGTTTCGACCCAGTAGCGCAGGAAGCGGCAGCTCGCGTGTTCGAATCCTGGTGGCAGTCGGATCTGCGAGGCAAGGACACCCTCATCGCCCAGACGCTTCCGTATCTCCTTGCGAGATCGCTCGAGCTCTCTCGACCAGTAGACGTGCGACGCGTGTACGCCATGCGCGACGCGTTTTCGCAACTTGATTTCGGCGACGCGGAGAGCATAGCCGGGACTCGCGGGCTGCTACTAAGGTGTCTCTTCGCGCCGGTGTATTTAAAGACCACCGAGGGTCGGCGGTTCCTTTCTTTCTTCTTAGTTCTAGACCTCCAGCTCCTAAAAGAGTCCATACTCATTATAAGGAATCAGATTCCGTCGGGAAGAAAGTCGCTACTAGAAGCGTATGGCGAGGTCTTTTTCCGAGCCTGGCGATCTGCCGAGCCTGGCCCGAGCCTGTTGGAAATAGAGTACGGGTTTCTGCAGGGGCTGATCGAAGCTGCGGTCTTCGCTCGGACGCCCGAGCTGGGAGCGGCGGTTCGGCGAGTGGTGGGCGGATTCTCCAATCAGATGCTGCAACGTGGCGTGGACGAGCTGCTTCTGCGCGTATCGGAGCCGATCATATTCCGAAGCCTACAGGTGGGTTGCTGCTGGTTGTACGTCAGAAATGTTGGTGCTCAGTGCCGTGCTTTCGAGACTGTATCGCTCATGCAGTTGACACTAAAGTGAGCTCGTCACCATGGTCAAAGAATAGGTGCAAGTAGATAGGGGTAGAGAGAGCGTGCTGTGACAGGTTGGGAAATGTAGAGAATGGTAGATAGGGGTAGAAAAAGTGTGCTGTGATTTGAAATACTTTCCAACGCATGCGTTTCTCTTCACCTTTCCCCTTGACCCTCCCCGCGTTTTTCCCCTGCCCTTCCCGCGTTTCCTCATTTCAGGCCGCCAATCCCGCTGTCCGCCGCAACGCCCTTCTCCAATTGGCCGAGCTCTTCCCTCTCCGCGACCCGGCACAAGGACGAGAGGCGAACGAGTCGCTCCTTAATCGGCAGCTATTTCTCCTCTTCGATCGCCTCTTAATGGATCCCTGTCCCGCGGTTCGAGCCTCCGCTGCTGAGGTGGCAGGACGGGTGCTTTGCGTCTTCTGGGAGGTTATCCCGTCGGGCGTCGCCACGTCAGCGCTGACGCGGATGGTTGACGAGCTGGCCGCTGACGTGGCCAGCCCCGCGGTGCGGATGGCGGCAGCGCGGGCGGTGGGGCACCTGTTACAGGGTAACCCGGTTTGCCATGAGCTGTTACGGGGGATGCTTCCGCGAATGGCTGCGGGACTGAGGGACAGATCACGTGGGGTGAGGGTGGCAGTGGCGGAAGTGCTTATAACGGTGGCTACTAACACCAGCATAAGACTAAAAGAGGTTATTTCATCAGGCCAGCTCATACAGGCTCTGGAAGAACCCAACGACCCAATAGTAGCTCGCCACGTCACCCGCGTCCTCCTGCCGACCTACCTGCCGTCCCACCTGCCGCCCGTTGCTGCTGCCGGCCGTTTTATCACCCTTATGCAGCGCTCTCTCCCTGCTGCTGCCGCTTTTGCGCGCTGCAGCTTCCAGGAAGGTGCGGGACTCGAAGCTGTGATTGAAGCCGTGAGGGCTGTTGTAGACTTGTTGGTGATTGAAACGGATGGTGGGGAGGGAGGCGAGGGGAGAGGGGAGGTGAGAGGGGAGGGAAAAGGGGAAGAGAAAAGGGAGGGGAGAGGAGGAGGGGGTGGTAAAGGGTGCAAGAGGAAGGGAAAGAGGAGGCGAGGGAAGGCGGGAGAGGGAGAGGAGGCGGCAGATGGAACGGTGACATGTGGGGAGGGTGGGAAGGTTAGAGGTGGGGAGGCTGCTTCTGGAAAGGGTGGATCTAAGGACGAAAAGGAGGGTTGTAAGGAGGAGGAGAAGGACCGAGAGGTGATGTATCACGTGGTGCTGGGGTTTGTTCAGGGAGTAATGTGGGAAGGAGGAGGAGGTGGTGGAGGAGGAGGTTGTGGAGTAGGAGGAAAAGAAAGAAGATGAAAGGCAGGCAACAGGAGTGAATGTGAAAACTCGGATGCAGCAGCAGCTATGGCTGATACTCTGGATGCTCCTGCTTTGAAACGGTTGCTTCTCTCGGCACGTAGTGCAAGTCAACGGGCGGCGGTGCTGCGAATCGCCGCCCTGCTGCCGCCCGTGTCAGTGGAGGAGCTTGCTGACGTGTGCAGGGAGGGGCTTCTGAGGGTTGGGAAGCAGAGGGAAGAGGGGAATCATGAGGGAATCAATAAAGCGCTTGGGGAAATCTCTGATAATCTCGCTGGTGTGAGGGTGGGTGAGGTGATGGAGTGGATGGAAGGGAGGAGGGAGGAGAGGCGGGAGGTGGAGGGTGTGGTGGTGCTGACACGCGCGTGGGGCGGGTTGGGTCAGCTGGTAGAAGCGCTAGAGGTGTCGCTTGCTGCGGGTGTGAATGGGGAGGTGGAGAGGAGAGAGCGGAGGAGGAAGGGAAATGAGGGAAAGGGAGGGGGGTCGGATACGATAGAGGAAGGAGAGGGAAGGGGCGGTGAGGAAAAGGAGGAGGAGGAAGAGAAGGAGGTGGAAGAGATAGTACTTTCGGATGATGAAGATGAGGAGGATGGGGAGAAAGGCGAGGAGGGAG